TATGTATATGCCATTTGTTTTTCAAAAATATTATAATACGAGTGTCAATATATGTACTCAATCTTATCTTTGAAAAATTTAAATGTACAAGAGAATTTTTTGATGTTAATTCTTGAACATGAACATCGACAAAGATATTAAATATACTATTTAAGCAAAAGATTCAAATTATATTCCATCATAAATGAATTTTGACAATGTAAGATTTTTATCCTCAAAAATACCAAATATTACCTCCTTTACCACCATAGAATGAATTTGCATCTTCCAAAGACCTTCACCTTATCTTCAATGTTGTTGGTGAAACATGTGGATTATTATTTTTCCACCAATGGGAAATAAATTGTATTTAACTATTAGAGCTTGAATTGATAATTGTAAGGTTAGAAAATCCAGTAATTAGTCATCTAAAAGATCAATCATGTGGAACATCTGACTATACAAGATAATTTGGTATTGAATTGTCTACACAATGTACACCTTCATAGTTCAAAGCTATTGAAGCAACATCAAATGTTCAATTTTGCAAAAATTGCAAAGAACATGGCTACAATGTGTATACTTATTCAACTCAAATAATTGTGTCTTTACAATTTTCTACAAGTATATTATAATTATAATAAAATATATAGATTTTATATAAATACTTATTTATTTGTTAAAGAGACTAACTAGTATGGAGGTGGTGGAAAATGATGTCATTAAGTGATATTATGAAGGATTCATGATTATGAAAGATGTCATCTTCTAACTCTTGCACAAATTTATAAATTTCTCTATTTACTTGAAAAATTCAAAATTATTTGGCGATTGTTAATGTATATTTTTTAAATATAATAAAATATAGCCTCTATTAATTTGTCAAGCTCTATGTCTATCAATTCCTACATGAATGCTATGACCATGAAAATGAAAATATATCAGAGAGACTTTTATGTCATATTATAATAAGTATTTTATACATTAGATACAAGATCATCAATTTGTGCCTAAAAAGATATAAGAATAAAATCAAGTAGCTACAAATATTATTAATAAGAAGAAAGCTTTAGAAGCTTGAAAATATTCTAAATCTATCTTAATTAGTCTTCTATCAAGTAATTACATTAAAGAAAATTAAAATATGAATGTGACCCAAGTTACATCATGAGTTTTCTAAAAATTATACTTCTATGAACTAGTGCAAATGACTAGAAGATCACTTTTAACTTTCATATTTCAAACATGAAACCAAAAACAAGATACAACCTTGTTTATTTATACTTCATAGATATTATCATTGGAGACAAAAATATAGTAAGGATTTATTAATATGAATTTAAAGAAAGTATGCCAATATGCCTCAAAGTTTCAGAATTCAAGTTTATGAAGATTGATTCAATAATTATAACTTGTTACATTATTTATGTATATATTATGTAAGAAATATGAAAACATAATTACTTTATAATAGCTAAATCCATGCTAAAAAATAAAACTTAAAAAAAATATGACTCTTTTGTTATTATAGATAGAAATTTATAAATAGTGTATTGTTCTTAAGGCAAGACAATTGCAATAAAAGATATGATTTTATCAAAGACTTTAACCTTTCTTTACATAATAAAGCTTTTCTTTAATCTTCCTAATTATCTCAAAAAAAATTCTCCTATTAAATTCATACTTATAAATTAAAATCCAAAATATCAACACAAAGATGTCCAAAATAATTGTCAAAATCCATAAATTTTATTAATTGTGGAGTAGAACTGTATCCATATTAAAAAAATATAAGTTAATGTTTAAAAAATATAAGAAAATGAAAAAAAAATAACTTATTTTCAAAATAAAAAATTTAATTATCCATTAATATCCAAAAAAATAAGATCTATATGAGCCAAAGAAAGAAATCAATAAGATGAGAAGTAATATAATGCCTTGTAATATTGAACATAATATATGCACAAAGACATATACAATTAGTAGATATGCCAAATCACAATTACACCAAGCATCAAACTTTGATAAGATTACAATACCCCTATTGGATGCAAGTTTGGAATTTTACATTCGGGTTTTGAATTGCCACCTTTTTAGAGATACTTTGTTGGTGCAATCCACCATACTGTGGTGGTTTAAGGTAAATCCTAAACCCTAAACCCCTAAACCTTGCTTCTGATGTACCTCCCAATTCAGCAAAGCTGTGCTCTATTACAACAAGAGAGCTTAGGCAACCCCTGGAGCCAACACACAAAAATATGGTTTGAAGATTTGAAGAAGCATAGTAATCCAATGCACAAAAATATGGTTTGAAGATTTGAAAAAGCATAGTAATCCAATGCAGAGTCCTTGCTTGATTCATACATGCACCTCAAAATAGATGTACAATCATAATAATATTCAATTCACTGCCTTGTCCATTACTTCACCTTGTCCATTACTTCACCCAACAACTACCATCCTCTTCTAGTCACTTATTGTTGACATAACATGTGTGTGTGTATGTATATACATATATAATTTGATTTTCATCCAAGAAGATACAAATTATGTGTCCTTTTCCATAGATTAAAAAAAACAAAACAAAACAAACAATGTTTGAGTGACCACAGCTTAATTATATCTCTTTAAAATCTTTGTACAGATAATTTTTTTTTTTTATATTATTTTAGGTTTTCTTTCTGAATCTTAAATATTCCCTCCGAATTCGTTTCCTATTAATGCATGCATGACTTGATACCATCAACCTTCACATGCACTTTGAAACTCATACTAAATTTCAGAAGCCTATTTTGTCAAATTCAGTTTTTGATAAATAAGATCATTATTATTTTTTGAACATGGTGACCAATAAGATTAAATATAATAAGAAATACAAAATTGAATTCGAAAAGTAGTTTCAGTAATAATTAGAGCGTACATTGAACAAAAATTATTGAAATTATGCCGGTGTTTGTATGGTAAGTTATTATCGGTATTAATATTATTTCCAGTTTTTACTGTTAACTTTAATTTATATTTTGATTGGTATGAGACAAATAATATGTTTGTCTTATCATACTGTTTTTTACCAAATATTTAATCTATGTACACAAGAAAACATACTGCAAATTGTATTTCTAGAAGTAAAGTTTTATGTAATTATTTCTTGATTTTTTGAAAATTTCGTTGTTACTGAATTATTTAAGCTGGAATTTAACCCAAAATTTGATATAATTATATATATTTTATCGATTAATCAATCAATTAGTTTTCAACTGGAAAAACATGCAGCAAAATTATCATGCTTGTGATTTTAATCTATCAATGACATAATGTTTCAAAATTTGAGAACTTCTTATGTATTTTGTTGTCAGCATCTCCTTGGATTCCATGAAGAATTCAAGAATGAAATTAAAACAAAAAGTGTGTGTATTTACATATATGAAATAGTTTTCATAAAATAAAATATTATCTGTACACATTTTTCAAATCAAATATGATCTACTTGATTTTTTAAATCCCAAAGATTTACAAAGCTTTAATATTATTTATTGATTGAGGAATTTTTTTATTACTATAGTTTTGGTATCTATAGTATTAAAATGTTTTTAAAACATAAATCACTTAAGATAAGTTATGATTCATCCATTATTTCATAAAAAATAATTTCTGTACCTGTTTATACCTGTTTATAATCACATCTAATGATATTTTGTCTTTTATGACTCATTAGTAACAAATGTGTTGTTTTAGTAGTTTGTTCCTGACCTTCTATATTAAAATACAATAATAATGACCAATATTGATCCCAACACCTCATCCATGCCACAACAATCCACTACCAATGGCATGGGCTCTCCCAATTGTTAACTTGAATACAAAACCTAATATTATTTATAAATAATCTGCCTCGCATGCTATCCATGGATAGCATGGAAGAAAGAACCAAGACTTACACTTTTTATTCATGTGTGGAGTTTCTAAGATACAAGCTAAGTACCTCCCTTGTCAAACTGGTGTATTATGAAACACGGAGAATAATTTCACCACATTATTTTTTCCTCTATAAAAATAGTCTTGAAGCATGAATACCTATTTGACTAAAAGTTGTCGATAAGACTTGTGGCTTTGGAATGTATATATACATATATACTTGCAGAGGTTTATATTTCTTTCCATTAAAATGAACAGATACACATACAATGAATATCTACAAACAAGTGATTAATTAACCATCATTTTTATAACTAACATTATAGACCTTGCTTTAGGAATAATACATTAAAGAAAATTATTGGTGTAAAACAATTTATAACAATTTAAAAAATAATCATGAAAAAGGTAAATTGAAATGTGAAAAATATAAATAATTTTTTATCACTACCACAAAAATATTAAATCAAAACAACAAAATATAACACTTGAGCATGCAAAGAAACTAAAAAATTAAATTATTTACAGAAATTAAGAAAAAAATTGGGGTTCTCTAGTACATAATTGATTAATTAGTTAATACTATTTATTATTTTATGTGTTTTTTAAATAAATAAGAAAGAGGGGGAGGTGTTAAAGCGTGTAGGAATCCAATAAGACCCATGTTGCATCACACGCAGTGCAAGGGGCAGAACTCAGCAGGCAGGAAAAAATAGCAAAAAATGCAAATGCGAAGGCGATCGCGAGAGTGTGTGTGAACTGGGAAGCAGCGAAGCGGGGAGACGTCGCGATGGTGGTGGCTGCGAGAGGAGGAGCTCGCGTCGCGAGAAAATGAGGCAGAGGTCGAAGGGGAACAAACAGGAACACGACGAGACGAGACGAGACGAGACGGACGGGAAGGGATCGTCGACGAAGGGAGGAGGGAAGGGATCGTCGACGAAGGGAGGAGGGAAGGGATCGTCGACGAAGGGAGGAGGGAAGGGATCGTCGACGAAGACGGGCAAAGACGACGACGACGACGACGACGATGGACGAGGCAGCAGCAGACAGGGGAAGCGGACAAATGTAGGGAGGGAGGGGGAGGAGGACGGTGGAGCTAGCTGGTCCATCCACGGGGACCAAGTCGCGCGCCAACAACCCCAACACTAGTGCTCCGTCGCTGCGTCGTCGGTCATCATCCTCACTTCTCTGTGCCGTTGTGCCACGGAATCCCTGTCCCTGCACCTCGGTGCCTGCTTTTGCGACGAGCTTTGTATAGGTTTTTGTGCTTGTGTTTGTGTTGTTTGGAATTTGGGTTGTTTTTTTGGTTTGGCTGGATATCCCATGCGCTAGGGCTAGGGCTGCAACAGGGGAGATCAAGCGTAGGTGACAGGAGGAGGAGGAGGTGGAGTAAGAGGAGGAGATAGTTTTTGAATCGTGGAAGTCGTATGCCCGGATCGGGACTAGTAGGAAGCAGAGATGGCGTTGAAATCGATCCAGAGATCGGCCACGGTCGCATTTGCGCCGATGGCGCAAGTGATGGCCGTCGGCACCATGGCCGGTGCCATAGATTCGAGCTTCAGCTCGTCGGCTAATCTGGAGTTGCTCAAGCTGGACTTCGCTAGCACCGATTTGGACATGCCCGTGTTGAGCTCGGCAGGAGTGCCGGAACGTTTTAATCGCTTGTCGTGGAGTAACGTCGGGGCCGGGTCGTCTGAGGAATTCCCTTATGGTGTGATCGCGGGTGGGCTTGCGGATGGTTCTCTTCACTTTTGGAACCCTCACAAACTCCTGAGGTTAGTGTCTAGGCTGCACCTGCAATCGATGCCTTCGATGACTTGATTCGTTACCCTGTGCATTTAATTTAATTTAGTTTAGTATTTTTTTGAGCTTACTACTTCTCTGCCAACATTGACGTCGTAATTCCATACTCATGCCTTAGTTTCTTTTCTAACAGCGAGGATCCAGCTGAACAAGAGGTTGCTGCGGTTTACAAAAACTCACAAGCGCACAATGGCAACGTAAGTAGATTATGACCTTGTTTTCAGCGTGTGTCTAATCGTGTGAATATTTTTACTTCGGACCACAACTAACGTTTTTTTCTTTTGTTGAAACTTCAGGTTTGGGGATTGGAGTTCAGTACGTTAAGTCCGAATATTTTGGCTTCTGGCGGGGAGGATGGCGAGTTACTTGTCTGGGACTTGTCGACTCCGTCTGCTGCTTCTACCTTTCCCCCTCTGAAGGTAAGTGGCGCTTCCTCATCTTTTTACTGTATTAGGTCTTCTACCGTAACAACTCTTTTTTCCAACTTGATTTGCAATATTCAGGGCGCCATTCAAAGTCAAATCAGTTATGTCTCCTGGAATCGAAAGGTGCAACCTATTGTCGCCTCAACATCATACAGCGGGACCACTGGTCAGTCGAAATAATTGTCTCTTCCTTTGTAAATTCATGCTTGAAGTTCAATTCCGGAATATCTCAGATGTCAAGAATGTTCTAAATTTGGGTTTTGTTGGTTGGCTGATTGGGTGACAGTCGTTTGGGACCTGCGACGTGCTAAACCAGTGATTAGGTACACAACTCCATTTCAGTCTTTTTCTCGTTTTTAGTGTAACTTTTGGGTTAAAGACACTTCCGTAACCTATTCAGCCATGTTGGATTGAACTTTGAATTTGCATGGTTGGTTCTGTAGTTTTACGGACCCTACCAGTCGCCGACGTTGCTCTACGTTGCAGTGGAATCCAGAAGTTGCCACACAGTTGATTGTGGCATCCGACGATGATCGGTCGCCATCTCTGCAGGTACACAAAGCTCCCTCTGGAGACCTATTTAGGACATGCTAGTTCACTGTGTTGGTTTATTAAATTAACAATTGTCTATGACGTGACCAGGTCTGGGACTTGCGAAACTCAGTTTCTCCTATTAAGGAGCTTGTTGGACACACTAAAGGTACTTACTTCACATAAAGAATATCTTATGTGCTCAGTGTTTGTATAATTCATAGCATAGTTGCATGTCTTTCTGAAGATTTTAACCGCTGGCCTTTAAATTTTGCAGGGGTGCTATCAATGGCTTGGTGTCCTTCTGACAGCTCTTTACTGTTGTCATCCTCCAAAGACAATCAGACATTGTGTTGGGATACCGCGTCCGGAGAGGTATAGGAAAGACCGTCTATTTAGAAAATTTGAATTTCCCAGGTCTATTGGTTTACAACTCATTGAAATAAAAGCTCCGAAATCTAAGCTTACAACAAAAGATGTGTATAAAAAATGCATCAACTTTATTTCTAGACATGTATGTTGCTATTTTAAAGTGACTAGGTTTAAAATATCGCATAGTGTAGCTTGGTTACGAGCGATTGTCGTGCATTTGCAGATCCTTTGTGAAGTTCCTGCCGGCAACAACTGGAACTTCGATGTCCAATGGTCACCTTGCACTCCTGGTGTTTTGTCAACGTCATCTTATGATGGGAGAATTGGCATTTACAACATCGAAGTAAGTCTCGAGTGGTTCTTTGTCTTGATCTACCTCGTTGCTACGCTGTTCCCTCAAGCATCTATTCAGTTTTTAATCCTCACGTAGTACTATTTGGTATGCAGGCTTGCAGCAGGGCACCATCTTCACGTGACCCTTTTGGTGGAACTGTGGGTGAGAGAGAGTATTCCACTGGTACGTCTTTTGGTGAAGCCTTGACGTGTTTGTTGCATTTCCCATATCAGAATGCCTTATTTTACTGCTATCGACTTAGGGTTCTAATCTTACTGTTATTTGTTCTAGCCTTAAGGAAGGCACCTAAGTGGCTGAAACGGCCTGTTGGCGCAACATTTGGATTTGGAGGAAAACTTGTGTCATTTGCGCCCAAGAAAGCTGCCCCAGGGGCAGCTGCTGCAGGATCGGAGGTACTGAGGCGCCGCAACATATTAAATTTTGTGTTGAGATCATTCAAATACAATGCTCAAGCTGGTAGCTTTGTTATGCATATGAAAGTATCGTGGGGTAACCGTGGCCTTTTATTGCTCTTAGATCCGCATCCAACATTTACTCACAGAGGAAGGGCTTGTTAAACGATCTACACAATTCGAAGAAGCCATCGCTGGTGGTGAAAGATCAGCCTTACGCAATTTTTGCGAGTCGAAGGCCTCAGCTGCAGCGTAAGAAGTTATTCTCCTGTGTTTCAGTGGTGACGCTTGTGTATTATCTTGTTCGAACGAAATAAATGCTCAGTGTCTTGAGGGTCCACGAACGTGTTTCAGCTTAATTCTTTTTCTCATGGGAAAATGTTTATGCAGGTCTGAAGAAGATGCAGAAACATGGAGTTTTCTTAAAATCATGTTTGATGAAGAGGCGCGGAAAGAGCTACTGGCTCATTTTGGCTTCTCAGCTCCTGTTTCGCTACAGGAAAACTCTGAGGAACAAGAGGGAGAGAATCCTGTCAGTGAAGTGCTAGCAAATTTGGAGTTGAAGGAGACTCTTCCTGTAGAAGAACCAAAAGTACCACCTGTGGTCTCACTTGATGATAATATTTTAGAGGGTGCAGATGATGGTGAAGACTTTTTTGATAGACTTGAGATCCCTCCAACGCCTACGGAGCCAAATCCCCCACCTATGCACATCAATGACACACAAGATACTCCAGAAGCCAAGAGTGAGGATGTCGGAACAGAGCTTGTGAATGATGAGGCGAATGAGGAGGCAAATTATGAGGGAGACAATGAAGTTGATGAAGCGATTCAACGTGCATTAGTGGCAGGCGACTTCAAAGTCGCAGTGGATATATGCCTCCGCTCTGATCGTGTGGCAGATGCACTTGTCATGGCTGCGGTTGGTGGTACAGCTCTTTGGGAAAATACTCAGAAGGAATATTTCCGGAGAACAAATCGCCCCTATCTGAAGGTTCCATCATTTTCATTCTGTTTGTCCTACTACTTGATGTTTCTTCTTGGTGCAAGATGGAGAGCACTTTAGGCTGTCAAACTATCGAAGATGTTTTACAAATCAATACATTATTGAGTTCTAATTATCCACTGTGGGGATATGAATTGTCTCAGGTGGTTTCGGCAGTAGTGAACGACGATTTACAGGGTTTGGTGGAGAGCCGGCCTCTGAAAGCCTGGAAGGAAACTTTGGCATTGATTTGCACCGTGCGTGATTACTTAAACCTCTGTTCCAAGTTTGTTTGCTGGGCACTGATGTACTGATGCTCTGATGACCCGATTTTTTTGTCTTGTTTATTATGTAATTCCATTTTTTTGGTCGAAGTATAATTACTGATTTCAAAGGAGATTTTTGCACCAGTATGCACGCAGTGAGGATTGGAAAACTCTTTGTGACGCCTTGGGAGCTCGTCTCGATGCTAGCCATAATATTCAAGCGGCTACTCTCTGTTACATCTGTGCTGGTAATATCGACAAAACTGTAGGTATTTGGTCGAGAGCCTTGAAGTCCAAGAAAGGTGGACCAGAATTCGTGGATGTGCTTCAGGTTGGCAAATCAACCATGCAACTTTTCTGGTGAAAATATTCACCTTTTTTTTTTATCAATTTTATTATCCATCTATTTCAGACTAAGATGAATGTTGTTGTGAAATGTAGGATATCATGGAGAAGTCTGTTGTTTTGGGACTGGCTACTGGCACGAAACAGGTCAGCATGTCTTTGGCTAGGTTGGTCTGTTACTACGCAGAGCTTCTTGCAAGCCAAGGACTTCTATCCACTGCCCTTGAATACATAAAACTTGTTCCATCGGATGACTCGTCGCCAGAGTTGTCAGCTTTACGGGAACGCATAACCCAAAGTGGTCAAGGTATGTTCATTTAAATGGTGTTATTTTTGGATAGTTTAGGAGATTGTATGTGTATTTATGTACGAGACACGAGTTTTGTTTCTTTTGAGAGATGTTGAAACAGTCCCAATCTTTTGAGAGGTTTTGAATTCGTTATTCGGGGTTGCCCTCGGCAGTTGTGTAAAGTTTCTCTTGTGAGCCTTGCCAGCGAAGCTCTGGTGTGAGGAATTCATCAGTTTACTGAGTTGTGTCCTTTTTTGTGTAGCGGCTGCAATCAAATCGAGTGTTCCTTCATATTCGGAACCCACTCCAGTTCAGGAACCACCATATTACCCGGTCAGTATAAACATAAAGCTGCGATTGTGAAGTGTTTAGCGTGTTGTGGGTATCAAACTTTGTGGTCGTTCAACGCATGGCTCTTGAATTTAGAGATCTTACTGTACCTCTGTCAAGTGTTTCTCAATGCAGCCTGAAACTTATCGGCGGGAGCCCACTAGTTCACCTTCATATTCTAAAAATATCCCACCTTCACAACCTATGGAGAATCTGTTTCCAATGCAGCCAATTTCACAAGTCCAGTACAATCAGCCACAGGTAGCTGAATCAACTGCTTTGGCGCACACTTGTTGAGTTTGATCAACCATTTGCATGAAATAGTTTCCTCTTTCTAGGTCTCATGAACGTGGTACTATCGTTGACGCACATCACATCTAGAGCTCGACTGCATTGGGTTTAAGTAAGATCATTACATTCTGGTTCCCTGTCTGTTGCAGCCAAATCATCCGGCTCCAAATCTACCAGCTCGGGCGTTCGTTCCAAGTCCACCACAGAACGTTTCAAGCTTCACTCCAAGTCCACCACAGAACGTTTCAAGCTTCACTCCAAGTCCACCGCAGAACGTTTCAAGCTTCACTCCAACTCCACCACAGAACGTTTCAAGCTTCACTCCAACTCCACCACCTACTTTTCAGCCTTCATATGATGCTCCCCCTCCATCTTACCAGGTTTGGTGTGGCAATCCTGAATTTTTCAAATAAGTTAAATCCATGCTGCGTGTTGGTACTATGAAAATCACATCTGAACATAGTAGAGGGTTCTATTCTTTTTTCTCTCTCTTTGTGTCCTTCCCTTCTTTTCTTCTTTAATAATCTTGAGATTGTGTAATGTAATTGTTTGGAAGTGTGTTTAGATGTCTGAACCTGTGAAATATCCGTTTCTTAACAGGGACCAACAAGGCAACCATACATAGGTACGAGCTTGCAGCAATCTCGCTTTGTACCTTCAGCAGGTGCTTTTCCTGGTATGACTGCACAGCAGCCCATGCAACCAGGAGTTCCAGCTCCTTCCAATATGCCAAGCCCAGCGCTTCCTAGCATGCCTCCAGTTCCAATGGCACCAGGCTTCATGCCTGTGCCTACACCTTCACAGCAGCAGGTAGTTGCGCAAGAGCCTCTCAATCCCCAAACTGCCGGCAATACTAACCCTACTCCATCATTCACAGCGGTTGCCACAGTGCAAACCGCCGACATTTCGAACGTTGCAGGTAATTCAGGTTCTCCATCGATGTGCAACTTCTTTTTAGCTTGTTTTAGTTGTGATAATTTTAGCGCAGATAATTGTAAGATTAGCTGTACTTGTGATCACATCTCGAAAGCCTGTCGACGGTTTATTTTTGTTTTTGCAGCTGAATTGAAACCAGTGGTGTCTACATTGACGAGATTGTTCGATGAAACTTCGACTTTTCTCGGAGGAGGCAAAGCACCACCTGCTAAAAAGCGGGAGATAGAGGATAATTCTCGAAAGTTGGGAGCTCTTTTTGTTAAGTTGAACTCTGCCGACTTGTCAGATAATGCTTCTAAAAAGCTTGTTCAGCTTTGCCAGGCAATAAATGGGCGTGACTACACCGCTGCGATGCAAATACAGGTACTTCTCACAGTATGATGTGCAATGTTGCTGACACTTGAACAGAGTTGTTTCGCAATATATATGCTGGACACATTGCTTAATGAGCTTGGATGCCCTTACTCATACCCTCAATCTTCGGTGTAAAAATCTGTCGTATAATTCCTTGTAGGAAACGGTTTGAAATTAATCAACGTATCGTGGTACCTCAGGTGGCCTTGACAACAAGCGACTGGGACGAATGTGGGTTTTGGTTAACTGCTTTGAAGCGTATGATCAAACTGCGCCAATCAATGAGATAATAGTTTTGTCCTCATCATTCTTGGTAGAATTCAGTAAGAATAACCATTTAGCCTCTTGTTCTCGTACATATGTCGTCAGATTGCGAGCCATGAGTAGATTTCTAGTTGAAATCATTGCCAACAGGATGCAGCACTTATGGAAGAAGGATTAGAAGAATCAACGAAGTATCCTAATTTCTTAAATTTAGTTGAGACATTCATGGTGGTTAGCTCATCATGGTGATGAAGCTGAGCTTCCTGGGGAAATGTCGAGCTGTTCTAGAGCAAGCTTTCGTCTGATTTTTCCGGACTCTGTAGCAATTTTTTTTTTGAGTTTACCTCTTCAAAAATCCGTTCACCTGAAAACCATTAACACTTATGCCATGAGAACCCTGCAGCACTATCGGGCACACGTATTTCACACTAGGATTCATTTCGACTGTCCAGAACCGCTGTGTGTGGGAAAACATCGTCATTTGTTAATGAGCTGAAACAAGTGGTTTGGTTGCAAGGCGGCAGGGAGCTGAATGTATTGCTGTACTTTCTTGACTCAGCCGTTGAATGCTGGCTACATGGACTAAACAACTGCATGGTGTTTGTTCAGCAGCCATATTCTAGAAGCAGTACACGATCCCTAGTGACATCATGCCAACATCGAGAATCAGAAATGTAACCTAGGGGAGTGGTGAAATGGATGGCAGCACGCTGTGTAATGTCACAACAGGGAGTACTACAATGTCAATGACAACATTCTAAACATGAATCTCCACTTATGGTTGCTATGCCTTCGAAGATTGATGTTAACATGATAATTTGAACTAAGAAAACACCTTGTGAATTGATTGTGCTAGCTTTTGCTTAAGGATCCTGGCCTACTGCGGCTGATTGACATTTCCTGTCAAAAGCACCAAATAGCTACAGTTAACAGGACTTGAACTTCCTCAACAATCGCAAGTAATTCACGTAATCTCAGTAATCTTATTTCAACTTACAAAAGCTTGCTGCTTTCACGATTAAACCTGAGTGAAAGATAAAAATAAAAATAAAACGGTCACATTCTCTGAAGAAATTACTGGAGTTAGACATCAGTTTCATTTTCCCAAAGCGTGTGTCACTACCCATCTCCCTGAAGTGGACATCTCATTCCGGTGGAAACTGAAGCAACTTTCGACCCAAACCCACAAACAAACTTTCAAAACTCTTTCATATATTAAATTGTTGCTTCTTTTCTTTTTCCTTTCTTTTAATGCAACACCATCATCCCTCCTCAACTTGTAGAAAATAAAATAAAATGAAATAGAGTGAGTTAGAAACCTCCTTGATTGCCATCCTAACTCCATTAGTTTTGTCCCAAAGGTGTTCTATGGCCTTCCATGCCTCACTACCTCTTTGTTCTGCAAAGTTGTGCATGAATGAAAATACACATCGGTATATGTAAACAAGTTAAAAAAATTTGATAATTTTTATTAACTTTATTCATATAAAACTAAACCCTATTTGAGTTTAATTTTCAATTAAAAGTGTTCCAAAATTTCAAATTCAATATAATTGAATTTATTTAAGCCAAATAGCAGTTTATTGTGGCTGTTGTAATTTTTTACATGTATGAAATTTGATCATAAAATGCATGTAATTGATTATTTCGAAAATATCATAAGAAATAATTTATCAGAATACATGTGGTTTGTATTTTGATTTAATAACTAAGCAGGCTATTGCTTAAAAAATTAAAAAATTATGAATATAAAACTAAAACTAAATTAAATAAACATATTATTTTAAAAATATGTAAATGCTAAAATTGAGTGTACAGAGTTGGTTTTGCCATTGCATATTTAGTAACATAAATATCAATTGATGAAACAAAATCTAGTCACAGGGTCATTTTAAAATTGTTTAAAGACAACAAGTAATGACTACATATCCTATTTGCATGTAATAAAAATTCTAAAAGATTCAAATTAAAGTTAAGATTAAAGTTAACATGTAATTGTATATCTATATATACATAAAAGACATCTTGGGTATAATACAATGTCTTATAATTGACCATGAAGAAGAGAACTTGAGGAATGTAGGGAATATGGGAACAAGGGGAACATGAGAATTAGGGAACTTTTTTTTTTTAAGTTCATAGAATGTAGCTGTATAACTATTTTTTGTACAAATTTATAGTTTACATGTGCATCATTATAATCATTTAAAATTTTTATCAATTTTTTTTTCAAACTGATCTTTCACAAATCACATTTGTATTTGTATTTGTGAAAGATATATTTATATTAATCAATCACATTTGTGTTCATATATATATATATATATATATAGATTTCTATATAATCTGAACAATTTACTGGTTTATAGTGTTCAATTTGCAATGAAAATGATAAATTACATAAAGTCAAAAAAATCTTAATAATATTGTTTTTGTCTCTAAAACCTGTTCAACAATGACAAATCATCTAACGAATAGAAGAAAAAGAAAAAGAAAATTTAGATCAATTTCTTCATTCTTTTCTGTTTTTAAGAGCTGTATATTGTAACGGAACACTTTTGCCTCACCCCACGTTCAAGTGCTGACATTACATATATTAAAAAAATGAAAAATAAAATACACAACTAAAAGAATGAAAAGCACCTACAAAATTATCATGGAACAATAGCGAAAAAATGCAGCCAATGAAAGGGCTTCGTGAACACCCTCACTTAACATCCAAGCAAACCCTTCATAAATTAAACTATAAAATAATACAATAGCAGGGATTCATAAATTAGGGGGGGGAAATAAGATCCCTCTAATACGGGGGGAGGGGTGGTCATAAGGCGACAAACAGTGATGGGTCCCCGCGGAGATGTGCAGGAGACCTGAAGCCGTCGTTCCCCAGAAGGGGAGGGGACGTTCCCAGGGGGAGCATGGGAACGGCGGGGGAGGAGGGGTTCGCCGAGTCGCTGTGGCTGGCCCCTTACGAGGTCGGCCTCTCCTCAATCAAGCGAGCGAGCAGCGGCGCTGGCTTCAAGTCCCGTCGCGACTCCGATGAGCCGTCTGAGCACAACGCCCTTCTGGACCCCGCCCACGCGCATCCAACCGAGGAGGTCGCCTTATAAGACCGCGTCCATCCACCATCCCGTGTTATTACCGATTCCGAAGTCGCCAGTTGACTAGCTCCATCGTCTCCCTCCACTCACTTTTTTCGTTCCTCCACGCCATCGTTGAGTGAATAAGCAACAGTTGGGAGTCGGCAGTTGAGCAGCAGGAGTTGAGAGCTCCTTTTGTCTGAGCGGCAGTTGTTGTCCCTGGACACGCGATCGCAGCGAACGCATCGAGATCGTTGCGGTTTTGTTTGCATTTAGAAATCATGGTCGCTGCTGTCGGGATGTCGCAGGTCTCCTCCTCCGGTATTAAATGGAGCTTCTGTGGGACTTCGCTGGAGAGGAAGGCCGCTGCCGCTTCTAAGGCGACGAATGTAGCGTTCGCTGTGCGTGCCGCTGGTTATGACGAGGAGCTCGTGAAGACCGCGGTATGTCTTGATTGATTGAGTTTGGGTTTCGTCGTTTGTTGGAGGATTGTTTGGGTGATAGAACCGGGAGGGACTTTTGGGATGTATGACGTAGGTGATCGTGTGCGTTGGTTTTTTGCGTGGGTGCGGTTGGAGAGAGGACTTTGCACTCTTGGGTTTTTTCGTGCGATCGAACTATGAGTTAATGATGCGTTGCGATGTTTGTGGACATGAGCAGAAAACGATCGCGTCACCCGGGCGCGGGATCTTGGCCATCGACGAGTCGAATGCTACGTGTGGCAAGCGGCTGGCCTCGGTTGGGCTGGAGAACAACGAGGTGAATCGGCAGGCCTACAGACAGCTGTTGTGCACGACTCCAGGGCTCGGAGAATACATCTCCGGCGCGATTATGTTCGAGGAGACTCTGTATCAGTCGACGAGCGATGGGAGGAAGATGGTAGATTGCTTGGTAGAGGGAGGGATCATTCCAGGAATCAAGGTGGACAAGGGTCTTGTGCCTCTGGCAGGATCCAACGACGAATCTTGGTGCCAAGGCCTGGACGGTTTGGCTTCTCGGACAGCGGCGTATTACAAACAGGGAGCGCGGTTTGCAAAGTGGTAGGTTGAAACCTGCTGTTGGGCATCCCTATCACGAATTCCTATTTCCTGCGTTGAGAAGGATATATGATCGTTCGAGCCGTTTGGTGACACTCAGAAAATAATGACTTTGTATCACCCCGGGTTTTGCAACTTTGATTTGTTGACAATCATAGATGCTGAAAGTTAGGTTCGAGACCGTCTTTTGATACGTGTTTGAACAGTGATTGAGATCTTATTGCGAGTGTCGTGCTGATGTTTGACTCTTTCTTCGGATGTGTGTGAGCTTGTAGGAGGACAGTGGTTAGCATTCCCAATGGCCCTTCGGAGTTGGCTGTGACAGAGGCAGCGTGGGGTCTTGCCCGTTATGCGGCTATTTGCCAGGTACTTTGAAGTAACGCTTGAACACATCATGCTTGTTAGAGTCAATTGGATTAGTAAACATCTACTTTAGAAGTGTTCACCTACCTACACCAAATTTCGGATAAAAGAGTGGACGATAACTGAACCTTAAACCGTAGTAACTTGGGCCATCACTTTATTTATGGAAGCGTTTACGCTCGTAAGGACGGTCATTTACCCTAGTATCGTTGATTTTTCTCATGTAGTGATGCCGCATGGGACCGTTACAATCCCTGAACTGCGCTGGGGCGAGGAATTCTGTATGTTTATCATGCTGCAGTACATGATTAAGACATGTGCTTCCGATGAAAATTCATTAATTTCAAAATTCTCCTGTTAATAGTAAAGCCAAGCCAGCGAATATCAAACGAAACAAGTAACAGGGATGTCAATACCAGTGCCCGGATTTTAAACTGTGGATTTTGGTGTGATTGCAGGATACCGGCTTGGTGCCAATAGTGGAGCCCGAGGTGCTTCTCGATGGAAGCCATGGAATCGACACAACTTTGGAGGTGGCGGAGAGGGTTTGGTCGAAGGTGTTCTACTTTTTGGCTGAGAACAACGTCCTTTTCGAGGGCATCTTGCTGAAGCCCAGCATGGTGACTCCAGGAGCGGAGTGCCCTGAGAGGGCAACCCCGGAGCAGGTTGCTGAGTACACGCTGAAGATGCTGAGGAGGCGTGTTCCACCAGCCGTTCCTGGAATCATGGTGAGTGGTACTGTGTCGTGTACAGAGTCGCGTGAGAGGTTCATGAACTTTAGATTGCATCGGTTTGTTGCATATGCATGAATGGATGTGGGGCCTCCAGAGGAGGATGATGAAGGTGCTAAGTGATTTTGTTGGGTGTGGATGGCGCAGTTCTTGTCCGGGGGGCAGTCAGAGGTGGAGGCAACCTTGAACCTGAACGCTATGAACCAGAGCCCGAACCCATGGCACGTATCGTTCTCATACGCGCGCGCATTGCAGAACTCGGTGCTGAAGACTTGGAAGGGGCAACCGGAGAACTTGGAGGCCGCTCAGAAGGCTCTGTTGGTGCGTGCGAAAGCGAACTCGTTGGCCCAGCTGGGAAAGTACTCCGCGGAGGGCGAGGCCAAGGAAGCGAAGGAGGGAATGTTTGTGAAGGGATACACTTACTGAGGAGTTGGGAGTAGGGCGATAGCAATGAGAAAAGGGAGAGGTATGAGCAACACGACCCTGTTGGAAGGTTGAGGTATGAATTAGCTGCAGAGGTTAAGGTTACAACGTTGAGGTAATAGGTAATAGGAGAGTATGTCGTGTGCTGAACTGGGGTCTGGTTGAACAGCCGTTCTAATGGACACCCGACCAATTTTCTGAGGTACATGTTATGTGAATCAAGCAAAGGACTCAACGTCGGTTTTCTGAGGTTCTTCACATCTTCAAACTATCCTGCAGTGTCTTGGCTTGAGGGGTTGCTTGAGCTATCTCATCTGTAGAGATTACAGCTCTACTGATATTAGAGCGATACTCTGCAAAAGCAGGCTTGTTCAGTTATCCCTGCAGTCACAGTAGTGGTTGTAATCTGGGTCATGAGTTTGTTCATGTGGAGGGTGCATTGAAGACATTGGGTGTTTGTTTGTTTGTTTGTTTGTAGCTTTCTTTCTTTCTGGGTTTGATGATTGCTGTTTCTGGTGAGGTGTATGCTCGTTTTGGTTCATTTTTTATTGAATGGGTTTGACAGATAGTTTCTTCATGGTTCCAACATGATGGTGTAGGATTTCAGAATGGTTTCAGGGTATGAATGGGGCAACAACCAAATGCAGAGGTTTTCATAAATGAAATTATGAAACTTATTTTCAAGGAGAAGCAGTACTTTGCACCAACAGTCTAGATGATTGTTTGAAGCATTGTAAAAATGTGAGCAAAGTTTACATAATGCCTACTGTTAGCCACTTTTTAACCATATATTTTAAAGCTGTGTGTGTATATATATTTTCTGTAATGAATAAAATTTCATTTCGGTAATGCATTGAAATCGTTTTGGACTTATTTGACAAATATACATTGTGCTAACAATAATCCCCTTTCACCTACTGGATTCTATACCAAAATCCAGCATTTGCAAAGCTTGGAAGTAACAAAGATTGGTTTCACAATGAAGAAATCCTATGCAAAAGCACATTGCAATCCTCTACAAAAAAAATGCACATTTCTTACAATACCTTTCTTATCAAGTTTACCTACACTCCCTTATGCTTAAGGACCTTGATCCTACCTATTAAGGACTAACTTAACTGATTTTAACCGGTTTTATACTGTTTTAAAACTAAATCAATCAAATTGAACATTGTACCAACCATTTGAAATTTCATCCCACAAAACACAAACTAATTAATTGGTTGGAAACCACTGCCATCCCTTGTTGAATATCATCAAATATATTATTATATTCAAATTATGATAAAAGTTATTATAATCTAGATACATAATGAATGTTACATTAAAGATAAATATAACATTTTGAAATATTTTGAAACATTTTTATTTCTTGAATAATGGATTATTTGTTTAAAAGTTAATTTGTTTTATTGTTGGATCATTGATTTATGCGTGTATATATATATACACATACATTTGATTACTTTTGTGACTCCTCTGATCTCATTTCCAATTACATATTTTGCATCCAGTTTGAGATTAGTAATCACCTTCAAATGATCAGCTTTGTCACAAACTCAATAAATTTCATATTGCAACCATTAAATGATCTTCATGGTCTTGATTTGAATTTATTCTTTGCAAAAAAATCTTATCAAGATTAGTTACCATGTTACATACCCAAAGTTCATAAAACTCTAACCTGTCCAAAAATTTCAATCTAAGCCATTTAATTAAAAATGCACAAATTCAGTTACAATGAAAATGTTTCAAATTACAAAATACCAAAAATTTACGAAGTATATGTGTTCAGTTCAAATATTGCAATGAAGAAAACAAAGCTTTTAGTCGATGTGAATGTTTTTCTTCAAAAAGTTGTGAACTCACTTTTCAAAATAAAAAAATAAGAAAATAAAATAAAATAAAAAAGCTTGACATGTATTGAGGAGAATCTTGTCATGCCACATCAGCAAAGTATCCATTCGATTGTGGTACCCACCACACACAAAGATGTATCATACATTTAGAGGAGGTGGAAAAGAAGCCTCCCAAAAGCACCACCAATTTTCTTTTTTCAACAGGGTTGGCATTCTTTTGAACTAACATTTTTGTTGACAATAATGTAAAACTTGTTGAACACAGGAGGAGCAAGATAGAAATAAAGAAAGGAAGGTATTTTACATTATTTATATGATTTTTGAATTTAATTTTCCATGTGGGTAGTTAGCTACAGATTCTCTTTTATGGTTGGCGTTGGTGGGTGTTTGTGAATAAATGATGAAGAAAGAGCTCCACTTTGCTGTGCATTGCATTTATGCTGAGTTGGCACAATGACTTGTGACAATCTTCCTGCACTGTTTTGATTTGAATGCTTACTTCCATGCATGATAGTCATTGTTCAAATGAGTAGATACATGAATTGTTGTTTACAACGAATATCTTTTAGTGGGTGAATATGATGGACGCGGCATTCAGCGCATTTTTGTAAAATTCAACAAAATATATGTTTTCACACAATTAGGACTTGTCTTTATTGAATTTTAGTTATTATTCATTTGATCAACACTGAATTATTGCAGTGTGTCTTTTGAATCGTTGGTTTAAAAAAAAAAAAAAAAAAAAAAAAAAAATGCAAAACAAAACAAATATAATGTTGGAATTTTAAGAACTTACCCTCGCTTCATTGAACTCTGAACAATTCCGTGAGTTTTGTTTTTGTTTTTGTTTTTTTTTTGGACTAGGAATATTTTTTAAAAATGACTTCGAATTCAAGAACTGTATATGCACCAGTACATTTGAACTTCGCAAGAAATTTATGAATGAAAATAACATGTTTCTTTTATAATTCAAAACGTGAATTAAATTAATTACAGTTTTATTCATGCCCATTACATTAAATTGATATTTTTTTCAATGAGTTCTACATATTTAAATGTTATAGAAAAACACATATGGAGTAAGATTTTTATCAATTCAATGTACGTAAAAATTGGAATATATATATATATATATATATATATATATGTAAAAAAAAAAATACCCAGTTCTACAACCAAAATAACATCTTATAATAAGCAACATAATTCCCTACTTTCCCTTCATGAAAAGCACAGACGAGGTTCTCCACAATGGTCACAACACCGAGGAGACGTTCTCGAAGTGCCCGTAAGTTCCCCGACGTTCCCACACAGTTCTTCCCTTGCAGGTGTGAACGAGGTTCCAGGGTCCGCAATAGCCCTAGTGTCGGCGTCGACGCGGTGCGGTGTTGGTTCGAATGAAGCCCTCGCGGAGGAGGAGAAGGAGCTCCGGTGAAGGATTCCAGGACCCCGCGATTTTCCCCACCGTTGGGTGCTTTTGGTGGAATTCACTTCAAGCTTAACTCTTACGGAGTGATTCATCTCCATTTGCAACAACAACAATAATACTGGAGTGATCCACCAGTACTTTTCCTCCCCTACTGCTGGATTGCGGCCTACGCAGGGAAGCTCGTGATTGCCATTAGAGGTGGGTGGAGGTGGGGGTGGGGGGGATGGCATGGAATCTAGGGGCGAGGATTGTGAGATAAGGGAATGATGTTTTTATGAGTTGGTGCAGTACAATGTGCCATGTGGAGCACTGCTTTTCTAGGTCTGAAGTTGTTAGGGAATTCAATTTTGGTTGCGGGGGGAGAGAGAGAGAGAGAGAGAGAGAGAGATGTGGGCTCTCTGTTTCGGTGATCTATAAAACTTTGAGATTGCTTGCTCGACATCTCCAGTCATAGCTCCGGGGTAGTGGACTTGGGTGTAGAGGTGGGGAGGGGAGACTTTCTTTGTGATTTGAAAGCAGGAAGTTAGAGAGCGCTGTGATCGCCTCTGGTGAAGCTTTGCAAGGTGTTTTTGAGGTGTTTGGGAAGAGGGGTGTATTGGTTGATCGGTTGGGGAAGGATAATGGGAGCAGAGGAGTTAGATGAGGGGGTATTGCTGCCGGCGGGCTTTGCGAGGAAGAGGAGCAAGATGGAAGACCTGAAGGAGTTGAATAGGAGGGATTGTCATGGTAGAGAAAAGGGTTTTGAGAGTTTGAGCAGCCCCAGGGAGAAGGCCACCGAATGGTTGAGCCAGCTCGTGGAGTTCTCCGCCCTGCCGGAGTACCTCCAAGACAATAGTTTCATTTTACGTCATTACCGTGCGGATTGGCCTCTTAAGCACTCCCTGCTCTCCATCTTTTCCATGCACAACGAAACTTTCAACATTTGGTCGTGCGTACGCTCGCTCCTTTCCTGTTCATTTGAGGGAGATCCGTATGATCGTGATTGCTCGGCAACAATTGTTTTGGTTCCAGTATTTCGCAAGCACAAGTCTATGTTCCTTTGGAAACAATCTATTCGATGAAGGGCTACGCAAATGGTTTGCGATAGTGCTGAGCCAATTCTTTGTGGATTTGGTGATTTGGCAGGCATTTGATTGGTTTTCTTCTGTTTTTGGGGCTGACTATCTACACAGCAATGCATGTGCCGACCATTGTAGAGCCTTCAACTCTTCACAGGTGGCAATCTGAAATCAACGATGTGATGCCTTCTTATCTACAGCTGAACGAAGCCCTCTCTAGTTGCGTTCCTGGCACTTTCGACGGGACTCAATGTATACAGGTGGTAATTCCAAGCCTTACTGCAAGCCCTCTTTACGACCCAATGAATCTGCTATCAATTATTCTGCATTCCTTCAGGACGGCATGTTTCCAATCTGCCAATGTAGTGGTACTGAATCACAACTTGCCGCCGTTGGATGTTGTTGCAGAAACCTATCACGCGCTGGCCTTTCTTCGTGTTTCTAGGAGGTGCTATGTTTTGTATGTTGGCAAGCACATTGTGTCATCTACTGGGTTGCCGTTCAGCTAAAACTTTCTATTTGTTGATGCGGATGGATTATGCAGGGATCGCAACACTTATCGCAGCATCATTTTTTCCACCTGTGCGTTTCTGCATCATCGCCTATAATTGTTTATGGTTGTTTTTGTATTAGCCAGTCTTGTGCTTGTGTTTGTGCTTTAGCTTGTACATGGTGCTTTGCAACTAACTGGTAGCAGCATGCTGCCAAGACATGAGTGTCTATGGGATACTTTACATTACGGCTTAAGGCCCTCAAAAATTAAACTTCAAATGTTTTAAAGAAGTGGACATTTGCATGACAAACGAATCGACAATGAATTCTCGACCTTAGCCTTTCCTTAAGAACACCTCTGTTGGAGGCTTAAGAAAAACCCCTAAGTCCCAAACTTTCAAGGCCAAAATGGTGTGGAAGACGCTGGATCATTGTTAGATCACTCTGTTGCTTGAGACAGTACTGACATGCTTTGCGTCGGGATTATGATTATGGTTTGCGATCAGAACGTGTGTTTGGACAATCAGATCGTATGCAACTGTGTTTCTAGTATCATCTTCGTATTTGTGAATTTAAGCTGATCAAAAATCTTCAAGCAGAATGAATTGTTGGATTATTCCACTTAACTCTCGGCTTTATATCTGGATATTGCCCACTTTGTAGAACTATCACATGTGTAGATTAGAATAGGTGCATGCAATGATAGTTTTACGCAGTGACTTTGAGATTGACTCGCTTGTTCGTTGGATGCTGCAGGTATATTACAGCTTCATGTGCAACCCTTTCTTATGCAAGCTATACCTCGGAATTATCACGAGCATGGGGATTGGCACTTTACTCACATCCATGGTACCAGTGTTTCAGACAGCAGAGTATCGTCAGGTTCGTGCAGCTATGTTTTTCATCATGGGAATATCAGGCATCTTCCCGTGTGTTCACAAGATTTTTATGTATCAAGACGAGCCTATGGCATACCAAGCATTGTATATAGAAATTTTTATGGGCATTATCTATGGATTGAGTGCCCTGATATATTCCACCCGCATCCCCGAACGATGGACACCAGGCACTTTCGATATCGTCGGGAACAGCCACCAGTTGTTTCATGTTCTGGTCGTGGCGGGTGCTTACGTTCACTACCATGGCGGCTTGGTCTATCTGCAGTGGCGGGATGTGAAAGGCTGCCCCTTATTTTGACCCACTGAGTAGGGATTCCATCGGGATCCCACATTCCATTACTCATCACCTCAAAGAATTGATTAAGTCCCACACATGGAGCATACAACGAGTGGCGAGAAGCTTTACGTACCAGTGCGCATACTGACACCGACGCTGCTCCTGACCTCGCGGGGGCTTGTGCTGGTGTCAACTACATCGTTCCCTGGGCAACTCATCACTAAACCTGTTAGAAGGATACGCACTGCTGTGTGATTTTTAGTGGTGGAATGGTGTTTAGAACTAGCCAACAGCAGAAGCCGGTGCAGGCTCAGTCGGGAAATCATTACTGTAAAGTGGACCAACATTTAGATGCTAAACCCTGACCCCGGACACAATAGCAGCTTCTGAATGAATCATCCTTGCGGTATCCGAAACTGGTAAAGCTAACGCGTTCTGATGAATGGAACGCAGGTTGGCGCTACAGATTACGGATAATATGCTCATCTTTCTTGTCAATTTGACAGTCCGTGGTGACCGTGACCAAACATGTAGTCTTCGTGTCGATTCTACTACATTGCACCCGATCGAATCCCTGCCTGTAAGGAACCGTGATGTGTCGCGCTAGGCCCACCGAAAACATGAACGCCCCTGCCGCAGCCTGCACATACAAAGCACAAGCAGAAGATCACAGTCGCCGTGCACACATACCCGAAACCTCGAGCTAGATTCTCTCTTTCTCTCTCTCTCCCTCTCCCCCTCTTCCTCATGCACGTTTCTGAGACATTCAGTATCATGCTTAATGTGTTCAGCGATGCGAGGAGGAGAATACCGTCACCCTTCCGAGTGCCATAAGTTTCCGTCCACGCATTCTATCCGAGCGATGCACATTTTCAGAAAGTGGACGAATGCAACGTTGCGATTACAGAAATGCACGACTCTCACAACCTGTTCCGAATCCTCAACCATCGTAAAACCTCCACACTGCACAGAATTGCACACTCTTGGAAAGAACGTCCGGAAGTGCATTGAGGTTTTCAACTACGAAATGCTTCAGTTACTATAGCCACTTGTACATGTGACGCGATTGAAACGCCATCAAAAGTGAGCCTGAAACGACACTACAGGAGATATTCAACTACCGGCGCTCGGAACATGACGCGCAGTTTCTAGCTGTGGCACAGTTCGGACCGGGGCCGATCATACACTGTCCCGCGCGTCGCAACTCAAACACGAACAAAAATCCAACATGGTCTGTTTGACAGCTTAGGTGGTTACGGACAAGCTACTATTATCTAATTGGAGCTCCGCCTCTGAAAATCTCCTATCCAACCTCGCTTGCAAAGGTCGGAGGTCGAAGACGGCCGCGCTCGTTAGAAGACTACAGTATCTCGTTGTCTAGTTAGTAGATTATATTCCTGATTGAAAGAGAGCCGATCATCTTCATCAATGTCGACGACCCGTAGCTTTTACGCGATGGCGATTACTCAGTATCCAACCCCCGAAGAATATGGTGCAGGAACATCCAGTGGATTCGGAGAGTTGGCTGTATATCCTGGACCTTCAGAGAAGCTCCCCAGCGCATACCCTGGGCCTTCAGAGGAGCTGTCCGGGGCATACGCTGGACCCTCATAGAAGCTCTCCGGCGCGAATGGGAAGTCAGCAGGGGCTCCAGCTGGTCCGTCGCCGAGTACTGGCGAAGGAGACGTCGTTGGCTCATTGTAACCTGGAGGTGCTGGAGGACTGTGGTGGTGGTGGTAATGGTCATTGCCAGGTCTAAATCTTCTAGCGTCTGCTCCAACCGAGAGCGTGGAGACGACAACCAGCGCCAGGACGGTCACCACCGCAGCATGTGATATCCCTCCAGCCTTGCTTGCCACAGCTGCAAATGCCATCGCTGATGCGGCCACTGCAGTCAGAGAAACCTGTTTCCGAGGTCGACAAATGCCGAGGCGGTGGTGGGCAACGGCGAAGGCAGAAGACAATGCCACACGATCTTGCTGAATGACTTGAGTGAAATTGCAAATGCTGGCTTGGCTGTTATAGTCACGAGTGATCGATAGGCGTGATGCTGAATTCGCGCAGTGATTCTCGACAGCCACGGTGCACCTATTCATTGTCCGTTCACGTCAGAATTGGCAGGAGGCGTAACTGTGCAATTTCCACCGAGGGTCATGGCTGATGTGCGTTGTCACCGAAATTCTCAGTGCACCTTTTGGGTGCTGAGTTGTGGCGACAGGGATGGAGTGGTGTCATTCCTAGAACGATTTCAGACTGCGCTCGCTCATCTAAGTTTAGCTGTGCTGTGGTGTGATTCAAGCGTTTGTCGGTGGAGCGGCCGCCGCATCCAATTGGGTGTTGTCGGTAGCGAAGAAGGTGGAGGTTTGTTGACGATTGTTTTCCTGTGCAGGACCGCATGTTTGGCTTGCGGCGTTTACACGGTGGTTTCTACAGTCCTGGCACATGCGTGGTTTTGAGTGAATGTGGCGGTTTGATCACCGACATCTATTCACTTCGAATTTAGATGTTGTTTACTCTTTACCAGTTGTAATTCTTGAAGCATTTCGTATTAGTTAAATTTGATTATGAATTTTAAGGGTTTGTGAATTCATTGTGGAGATATGGATAATCACTTTTTCTTTTTTTCTTTTTTTCTTCTAATTGAGAAATCCTTTTTAAGCACATATGGATTTATAACATTTATAACTTCAATGGAAAGAGTGAATTGTTACAAGGTTTATTAATTCCAAATGTTTTCAAAAAGTTTTATTAATAAAGAAAAAGTGTCTAAATCTATTCAAATGATTTACATATCATTTCTTGTATATATATATATATATATATATATATTTTCAAAGAAGTTGGACAATGAAACTTTGAAATTTCCAATGAGAAAAGTATATTGATTTCAAGTGTTTGTTAAAACATACATAAATCTTTATATTTTACTTGTTTAAATTTTTACAATTAAATCTTTAATCATAAATAATAAACAATTCATTCAGTACTTGATGCAGTTATATAATAATGTATAAATCTTAAACTTCATTAATATTCAAAATTTTTCTTAATATAGTCATACAATGACGTATAAAACTTAATGTCAAGGACATGAAGTTTGAAGAAAGAAATCTTCAATACATTCTTATATCACTCAAAAGAACTAAAAAGTCACTCAAAGATGGTATAGTATTAAATTAGAATGGCTATTGCCAAAGACAAGAAGATTAAAAAGTCTTGAAACAAAACTAAGAGCTAAAAAGGCATTGACAAGAGTGAAGAAGGCTTCACTCTTACCTCCATATATACTCTTAATTAGAAGCTACGTAGCAATATCCAATAAGAACTTTAAAATGTGTTGACTTTGTAAGACTCGTATCTTAATTTGCAAGGTAAGTTTTTTACATGTACATTACATAATTAGCTTGTTCAGTAAGCTACAAACACATGATTAACTTTTTGACTAAGTTTCTAACCTAATAATCAACTACAAATACATGTAAAGTCAAAGCAATATCTGTGAAGCTTTTAGGAAGCTTTTTTAAAAATTATTATGAAATAAATCTATTTTTATTTACTTCTATTTAATCATATAGATAAACATTAGGATAAATATGTATGTTCTTGACATTACTTCTCATTTTAGAGATGAGTTCTATAAGGAACGGTCTTCATATATTGAAGAAAATCCAAGATGTGACAAATTGTATTTGTCACATACTCTTATCTTTATTTTCTTCAAAGGTGGTTGATAGGTCCTCTCAACCATCGATTATGTTGTATACCAGGGCGGAAAAACCACCTTGTTATTTGATTGTTATTGAAGCCTTTGTAACTTCCTTCAAATAAAACATTTGGAATACAGTTAAGAATTGTTCCATCTTCTAATAAAATCACCAAACATCGAGAGTTTCTTCCAAGGTTGTGATATCAAACACATTGTATCTCGCCATCTATTTGAAGAAGGATGTATTGTTCTTGAGGCTCTTCATCTTAATTATATCATCTTGAAGCTTGTAAAAATTGAAATGTTTTATTCGATAAGTTAGTAAGTAATAATTCTTGAGTTGAATTTGTTGGTTGTTGATTTTCTATCTCTTTAGCATCACAAATGCACAAAAGTACCAAATAACAAAAGAAGGTAGAATGTTATTTTTTTTAGATCTTGTTTCATTTATAGCAAAGATTTGTTATTCTTCATCTTTATTTTGATGGATATTATCAATGAAAACCTCAACCTTCATTATTGTATTTACAAGATTCTTTGTTGGCTTTTATGTGCATTCACTAATATCATATCTGTGCTAATGAACAAGATATTTTTACCTATTTTGATGCCACCTTGAATTTAAGACCTCTTCCACCTCAAACTCTTGATTATTATCTACTTTTATAAGAGAAAGTAACATTTGTCTTCTTTCCAAGATATTTATTGTTTTATATAGCTCAAGAAGAGACACATGGAATATAGGATGGATCTTCATAGAATTTGGTAGATTTAATCAATAAGTAATAAGTTTGACTTGTTCACTAATAGAAAAAGGTCCAAGCCTATGACAGTCCAACTTATCACAAGGACGAATAGGCTTGATATTGTGACAAAGTAGCCATATCTTGTCACCTACATTGAATTATGGTTGTTCCTTGTGATAGGCATGCACATTGATCTTTTTTCATTCTTAAGCTTTTTTTAGCTGTGCCTTCATTATTGTATGTAGTTTTGACAAACAATCTGCTAAATCTATGCCACAAGATTATTAACTTTTGAAAGTCAAAAGTATCAAGTTATGGATGATAATCATAATTGGAAAAGAAAAGTGTTTGTTGAATAGAAGAATGAACCAAATTATTATATGCAAACTCTATCAATAGTAAAAGAATTATTCAATCATCTTTATAATACTTGATGGTAAATATTAAATATTGCTCAAGAATTTAATTCATTTATTCTATTTTCCTATCAATTTGAGGGTGAAAAGCCAAAGAAAAATTTATATCCATCTTTAATATCTTGAAAAGAATTCTCTAAAATCTTAATTTAAATTAAATCTTCCTATCTGATATAATATCCTTGAAAAATCCATGAAAGCAATAGATGTTGTCTAGAAAAGCTTGGCCATTTCCTTACTTATAATAGATTTTGTATGTGATATAAAATATATCATCTTGATAAAATGATGTACTAACATAAATGTAGAATCATATTAACTTGAGATTGGAAGATTTCTGATCAAATCTATAGAAACAAAAGACCATAGTTATTCTAAAATAAGTAATAGCTCAAAAAGTCTATAAGATTGATGGAGAGGAGTTTTGAATCATGAATAAATATCACATGATTATACAAAGTCTTTAATTGCCTTTCACGTTTGGTGCCACTATAAATCTTTTGATATTAACTCCAAAATCTTATTATATCCAAAATATTTGATTTTTGAAAAGTCATGATGAGCTTGATGAACATGTAATTGTGCTTCACTTTTTGGAATGTATAATTGTTCTTCAAAGTAGAATAGATTATTTTTAAACTTAAACTTAGAAGTATCATGAGACTTAGAAGAATTATTCTTGATATTATGAATAAAAAGATCAAAAGACATATTTAATTGAATTTGTTTCATGAAGCTTGAATCAACAATCAATGTTGATTTTATTACTCAAATATGAAAATGCTTCAATTTCAAGAAAATTATTTTTTGTTGATAAAAAGTTGCATCTCTTTCTTTTGGTATAAGATAAAAACATATAGAAAAGACATTTGATAAACCTTATTGTTTTTCAGATCTATAAGTAATCTTGAAATCAAATCTTGATAAAGATATATTCCAACAGGCTTGGCAACAATTCAAAATATGTATCAATATAAAGTACTTGAGGTTCTTGTGATTTATATATACAATAATTAGATTAAAAGCATCTTTCAGATAATAACACCATTCTTGAAATGAATCTTTAATTACATGAAGTTCTTTGTTGTGGATCTTGTAGTTAATCTCAACTATTGAAAAAAATTTGGAATGAAAAGTAACCAAGTAGATCTTATCATCTACTTCCATTTATGATAAAACAATACCCATAGCAAAGTCTAATGCATCTGATTCTATAAAGAACACCTTAGAAAAATCAATGCAATACAAAATTAGTGCAGAAATAAATATTATCTTTAAGGCTTTAAAAGATGTTTCTACTTCTTTGTTCTACTCAATTTTATCTTCATATGTTAGATGTGTAAGAAGAGCTGCAACTTGAGAATTTTTTTTAATGAAGATTTGATAATAATTAGCAAATTCCAAAAAACATTGCACATCTCTGACTATTTTTGAGACCTTACAATCCATGATAGTATGGATTTTCTTAGGATCCATCATTAATCCTTTATTGGAAATGATGTACCCTAAAAAATCAACCTAAATAATATAAAATACAAACTTTTCTATCTTTGAATATAATCTCACATTTTAAAGTTTTTGTAATACAAAACAAATATGAAGTTTATTTCTTTTTGTATTCTTAGAATAGATTAGAATATTTTCTAAATAACAAACAACAAAATCATCAAAAATTTCACAAAAGATAACATTCATGAGATGTTAAAAAGCAGCTAATGTATTCGTGAGTCCAAAAGGCATGACATTATATTTGAAATGTCCATACCTAGTTCAAAAAGCAGTCTTCTATTCATTTCCTTCTTTAATGTGAACCAAATTGTATGCTCTTTGTAGATCTATTTTTGTGTATATCTTTGTTTAATTGAATTAGTCAAGAAGTTTTGAAATCAAAGGTAGGAGATACCTATTCTTGATCATGATCTTATTAAGTCCTTAATAGTCTATGTACATTTGCAAAGACCAAATTTTTTTCTTCACAAATAAGATAGGAGCTCTTGTTGGAGATTTTGAGTTTTGTATGAAGTTCTTAGCCAAGTTCTTATTAATGTACTCATTTAATACAACCATCTCATTTTGAAATAAGCTATAGATTGGTCTAAATAATGGTTGAGCTCTTTTTTATAGATCAATTGAACAATCATATGATTTGAAAGAATATCTGCATTTTTCTTTTAAAAAATTTCCTGGAAATCTTAGTATTGGCTAGGAATACCACTTGACATCTTTCTACTATAAAAAATGAATGTGGTATATATAGCAAAAGTTTGCCTTTCTTTTATTACATGCATGAAAGCTCTTACACCTATTAATAAGGATTTGAATATACTAAACTTATCTATTTTTACTTCTCTATCAAAATTTTGGATTAAACTACAAGAAAAATTAAAGTTATAAGAAATCCAATCTTTTTGAGGATTTTTTTTTTTTAACTACAATAATCCTAAAATAATTCGATTAGAAGGAGATCTTATCATATTAAATATTACTATACTATTATGATCTTCAATTGCTACATCTAAAAGAACAGTTTCATGACTAATGTCTTTAGAAGATAACAAATGACCATCTATGACTTCTATATGTATGAGTTTAGTTTTCTTGACTAAAGATATTTCTGGTTTCTTGATAAAGTCTTCATCTACAAAATATGTTGGGACTCTTCAATCTAATAATGCAAAGACTTTATGATTTTTAGGTCCTAAATATACATCTATTATAAAATAAGGTGAAGGATTTGAAGAGAGAATAGAACCTTTATTAGATGTTGTATATGATTTGAGTTACACGATCTCTATTGTAGCTAGAAAAACTTGACTTTCAACACATTATCTTCTTTAGCAATCTTGCTCTTCATTTTAAGATTTCATTGCTTGTTTCGACAATGTTGAGCAATGTGCTTAGCTTTTCTATAATATAACCACAAACCCTTATGACAACATTGAGTCTTTTCTTGCTCAATGAGAGATTGAAAATGTATCATATCAGTTATTACTTAGCTTGTTCTTCTTCAACCAAGTCTTTGTTCTTGAGACCTTTGAAATAATTGATTGTTGCATGCAATGGCTTGAGTAATAAATTATTCCAATGATTTTGCTTTTAGCATTGCCAATAATAAATCTTTGATATTATCCTTCAATCCATATCAAAATTAATTGATGTGGGCTTTGTCATTCTAATCTATGTTATAAGCAAGGTTTTGGAATTCAATAGCATATATGGCAACTTATTATGATCCTTGTTGTAATATAAGAGCTTGGTTTCTACTACTCTTTCTTGATCACTTTTTCCAAATGTGGCTATAAACACTTGTATGAATAAATTCAAATCATAAAAGAATTATGAATCTTTTTCTATCAAAGGTGCAAACCAAGAGAGAGCACTTCTAGATATAAGTATACCTATAAATCCAACTTGAGTAAATCCATTAAGATATTGGAAGAAATGCAACCTTAGATAGAGTTTGATTTATTATAAAAATCTTTGAAATTTTGATCTTTTTCTATGAAACTTCTTAGGCATACTAATCCTTGTCTTTATTGTACTTGTAGAAGCAAAATTTCTTGGATTTAGTTATGAGGTTGATTTATTTTCTTCTATCAACTATATAACTTCTTAATGTAAACTCTGAACTTCTTCTATAGGCATAAGATTAGTATTACTATAGTTGGCGCTTGTGATATATGAAATTTTTATCCTAAAAATTTGGACAAGTTTTTGAGGATCAGTAATAGTTACAAATCTATTTTCATTCTTGTCAAACTATCAAGCTTGAAGAAATAAATCCTCATTATATTCTTATATCACTCAAAAGAACTAAAAAGTCACTCAAAGATGGTATAGTATTAAATTAGAATGGTTATTATCAAAGACAAGAAGACTAGAAAGACTTGAAACAAGACTAAGAACTAAAAAGACATTGATAAGAGTGAAGAAGGCTTCGCTCTTGCCTCTGTATATACTCTTAACTTAGAGCTATGTGGTAGTGTCCTATAAGACCTCCAAAACGTGTTGACTTTGCAAGACACGTATCTTAACTTGCAAGGCAAGTTTTTTATGTGTACACCAGATAGTTAGCTTACTTTCAAAGCTATCAATATGTGGTTAATTTGTTGCCTAAGTTTCTAACCTATCAATCAAATACAAACACATATAAAATCAAAGCAGCATCTATGAAACTTCTAGAAAGCTTCTCTAAAAAATATTATGAAATAAATCTTCTTTTACCTATTATTTAATCATATAAATAAATATTAGAATAAATATGTGTGTCTTTGATACTTAAACTTCATCAATGTTCAAAATTCATTCTTAATGTAGTTATAGAATAATGTATAAAACTTAAACTTCATCAATGTTCAAATTTATTCTTGATATATGTAATTGCATATTAGACAATACATTCCAACCAAAGTTAGATCTTTGGAGATCTTTTCTTTAAATTGGATTAGTGTATTTTATTTTGAACAATATTTCATCCAAAAATTGTGTATTTACAATACTAATCAATTTAAGATGGAAAGAGCTAAAATTTAAACTTTTAAAAAACAATGACTTAATTGGCTTTTATTATAATCAATATGAGTGTATTCACTATATAATTGGTCATTTAGTTTAGTAGTTTTTTTTAAAGATTATTTTTTTATAAATAAATAAATATATATATATTGGAGAATGTTAAAGTGACCCATCCTATCTTTACCATCATAATCATGTTCTAAATGATGGTTCCCAACTGTCATCCGGAACCCCATTCCCATTCAGGTGCTCTGTGCTCGTTCTCGCATTCGCTCCGCACTCCATTGCCGCAAGCTTGTGAAGTTGAATCCTTCATGTCTTCCTGTCTTGACTTTGTGAAAGTGTGTGCAGCGGGGGCTGTGGGGCTCGCTGCAATCCGTGTCGCAAAGAGAGAGATAGTGGGAGAAAACGTTGACATAGCCATACGCATCCGAACCGGGAGGGCACTCCAGCACCGCTTCCAGCACGTGGTGATGCACGCTATGAGAGTCCACAGAATGACCGCCCTGATGGGCGTGTCCAGCAAAGCACCCCACCACGCAGTTGAATTTGTGCACAACCGCCAACACAACGTCATAATTCCAGAGCAGAGCGAAAGAAAACGATGCGCCTGGATCCATCGGCAAGTGGCAGCAAATTATAACCTTCTGTTGCGCTTCATGCGCCTCGGTTAAAGTAGTTCCCAACCGTGGTTGCTAAGCATATGATAGACGGGGCCGTTTTCGAAATTAGGGAGCTCTGATAAGATGCGCTCGAACGCTTGTTTGGATTGCTTCTTGGGGCATAATCCGTCCACAATGTCACCAAAATGGACTGCGAATGCGAGGTTCCCGTGCTTGTTCCATGTGTCCATAGCTCTCCGCAATACTTCAGATGCGTGCCGGTAGTACCGCGGCACTCCTAAGAAGGATTTCCCATCGTGAATGTCAGCATATTGAATGTCAGTAATCACTCCAAACGAGAACATAGGCTTTTCTTGCGGAGATTGTTTCTTCTTCATCAGCATCATATTGCGAGGAGGGCTAATTTGCTTGAAGAAGAAATTGTGAGGAAATAAAATGCACACAGATTAGGCCTCAGAAGGGCCTCTCATTAACTGCTTAATCGTGTTTACTACCCACATATTTCAATGTAAGTTAACGAACTCTTTAATACCAAAATTTCGCAATAGACACTTCAAATACATAAAAAAGCAAGACCAAATTTATGATATACAAGAACAAGAACATGGGCCTGCAGCGAGCCCCACAGCCCTCGCTTCAAACACACTCACAAAGTCAAGACAGGAAGACGTGAAGGATTCAACTTCACAAGCTTGCGGCGATGGAGTGCGGAGCGAATGCGAGAACGAGCACAGGGCCTCTCATTAGTAACGCAGGGAGCGGGGGGTTGGGAACCATCATTTTCCTAACGATGTTTAAGATAGGGTGGGTCACTTTAGTAAAATTCTGGTTCATTTTAACATTCCCGTATATATATATATATATAATTTTTTTTAAACATGCAAATATATTTTTAAATAGATGTGGATAAATATATAATCTTCTTTTTCTTTTTTTTAAATTAAAAATTTGGATGTTGCATTTTACAACAAAATCAATATCTTAACTCAAAATTAGAGGATTTTGCAAGTTGAACATAAACTTCACATCATTTTGGAACTTCTAAAAAAAAATTGATAAATACAACACTGTCTCTTTTGACATTAATTGTTAATTGTCAACATTATAATGATTATGTTGACAAGAATTAATTTCTTAGATTTAAAATTTGAATTTTTTCGGTTGTTTTATAAGTTAAATTATGTTTATATATAGATTAAAAGTCCACAAAATATGCTTCTAAGTTGCTTAATGTGGGATATTGTGATTCTAAAAATAATAAGAATAAAAAATAAACAAAAATAAACAAAAATAAACAAAAATAAACAAATCTATTAACCAAAGTTTTAACAAATATGACATGAGATGCTTAGATTAGATGACTAAAAGATTCTAGTTGAATAAAAAATTGTACTTGGTTCATAAATCCTCAAAACTTAAATCTAGTTTTATGAAATATCTTTTGAAGAACAAATTTTGGTTTCCTACCCAATGTACTTGCTTAAAATATTTGAGATGATGCAATTGTTAAACAAACTCATGTCATCTTTATGATTTTATAATTGATCACTTTTAATGTTGGTTGAAATGGTAAACAAAATTGATACATAACAAACATCAAAACTCTAATTTGTTCATATTCCTATATTTTAAATATTCTTTATCTATTTCGAAATTTTTCATACTTATTATGACATGAGAATTTCTATCTAACAAAGAAGAGAAAAAGAAATGACATTGCAAATACAATTTCAATTTAGAAGTAGATAATTTGTAACTTCTAAAATAATTGGTTGCTTTCAAGAGAAAAAAATAATCCATTTTTTTTAAAAAAAGATTAAACTTTGAAATTATTAGTAAAAGTCTTGTCAAAGTATCAAAGACATGAGTCCAAAAAAAATTCAAAAGATAATATATTTATGTGTTATTTAAGAAAGAAAAATAAAGAAATAATATTAAGATGTAAGATAGAAAAGAACTAGAAGAATATTTGCCAAATATACAAAAGCTAAGGAGTCTTGAACCAAGATTGAAATACAAAATAGACCTTGACAAGAGTGATGATGGCCTCACTACTATGTCCATACATACAAGCTACAAAGAATGCCCAATAGAAGTTTTTGAGAGACTATAAGATTTGTGGCTTAAATATCAAGTAGTAGATTGCTTTCAACACAAATTCTTAAAAATGAAAAGCTTGTAAAACAAGTTTTAAAAACTATATGACATGTCTACAAAAGTCTAAATATCTTATCCATATCTAGAAAACTTCTTTAAAGCTTCTTAATAAAGATATTATCTACTTGATTCTACTTACTTCTATTTACTTCTATTTATTTCTATTTACTTGATTAATATAAGCAAATATTATAATTATATTTTTTAAAAAAATTAATTATACAATCATGTGATTGGTATTTAACAAATATATTGATATTCTTTTAATTAAAAAAATCTTGAATAATTATAAGGAATAATGTTCTTCAATTTTGGTACAACCTCAATATGAATGAAGACTTGATATTACATAAATTTCAAATAAATCTTCTTCTTTTGGAGCTTGTATAAACACCTTAGTTCCAACAAATAAAGAACAAAATGATTTGTTCGTATATATATATATATATATATATATATATAATAAATATTTACATAATTTTTTTTCTTAAATCAAAGGAATTAAATAGAAATAAGTAGAAGTAAGTAGATTTGTTAATATCTTGTAGACAAGCTTCTTAAAAGCTTCATGAATGTAGATTTGCCTTTATATGTATTTATAGGTGATTGATAGGTTGAAAACTTAGCCAACAAGTTGGCTATGTATTGCACATATTGGCCACTTGTAGTACAAATTAGCCATGAAGCGTACACATAGAAAACTTATCTTACAAGTATAAATATTTTGCAAATTGAACACATGTTGGAGGTTGTATAGAATGTTGCAATATAGTTCCAAGTTAGATAGTATGTATAGAAGCAAGAGTGAGGTCTTCCTCACTCTTGTAAAGTTCTTTCTTGCTTCTAGTTTAGTTTGAAGAGTCTCTACTTTTATAGTCTTTGGCAATAGCCATTTGAGTTTTTTTTTGGAATTTATACATATATATATATATATATATATATATGTGTGTGTGTATGTATGTCTGTTCTTCTAATAAAACTAAGCTTCAACTTCTAGAAAACAAAAAAGTATTAAAATATTGTATATCTTTGGAATTACTCTTTATTTTTTTTTAATTTTAAAATTAAAAATTATTTTTACATACCAAATAAAATTTTATGGTAAATATTTATTAGTAAATAAATTCTATTTCTTAAATTTCTTAAATTTAGATTTCTATATATTGTTTCAAAATCCATAATTCAATGTTTTTTATATTTTTGTTTTGTATCAACATAATTGCATCATAACAATTAACATATTTATAGTTTAAAGAACTGAATAAATTCATTATACAATTATAAAGACAATACTGAAATATCTTAATTAAATTCGACAACCTTAAAAAACGTTTTATGTTTATAATTAATTTTTTTCATCTAATATAATCTTTTTTTAGAGAGAATAGTGCAAAATCATTGTTTTGACAAGTTCAAGGTATTTATCTATACTTTTATTGTATAAATACATAGTATCAACTTTCTTATATAAATACATAGTTTTTTTTTTTATTATTTTGTTCATCATATTCTTTCTAATGACAAGAAAATTTTATCAAAACAGAAAACCTTGCTAAACATATAATGTATATAGCAATTTTACATTAAAATTTATATGTATATTTACCCTTAGCAATATTGATATGTATTATTGCAAATGAACACCCCCTTTTAAATGTGGTTTTGAATTAAAGTAAGTGGCATTGGTAATTTTTTAAACTTCTATAGATCTATAAAAATACTTCATTTTTGTATCCATAGATAAGTATATTATTGAAATTAAAAGTACTTGTTATAGCAATTTAAGTATGTCTAATACTACAATATTGTGGTGGTTTTAGAATGTGGTTGACCTCTACACTTAAGGAATAGATTAACTACAATTTGCATAAACCCATTTTAAAGATGGAAGTACAACTATAGTCTTTTAGCATATTATATTAAATCAAAGATCAATACATTTCTAGCAACTGTTTTTTTTATGTTCTTTTATTATGTCTTTATCTCTAGTAATTTTATATAAGATATCGTTTTTTCTTTTGGTTATGTTTAATCTAAAATAACACATGTCACAATTTGACCAAACATTTCTAATCAAGTCAAAGCAACAAGACACACAAAACATACCAATTTTATAAAATGTGATTCTTACCAATTAGTTGTCTTTAGTTTTGCACTAATCACTATGTCTAAAGATACTTTTAATATAATTACAATAACAGTCATGAAATTAGAATTATTACTTTACCTCTACTTTCGATTCTGAATATGGAAATATCCATGAAATAGAATCATAAGCGAAACTAGAATATAAAATATCTAATGCATTTTTTAATAACATTTGTAAGTAATTTGGTTTAATCTTTAAAATAATCTTAGTATTATTTTTATAAGAATTGAAATAAATAATTATACAATTTAGAATTGATATGTCTTCAACAATCTTTGCATTCAAAGATTTGAACCAATTTTTAAAGAGCTTCAACCACAACCTTGGTTGTTTATCATCAAATGCAAATTAGTTTGATAGAGTTATGAAACAATAGCTACCTTAATAAACAAAAACAACCCTCTAATTATCTAGAAAGAAATTCCTACATTTGTAACCCACAAAACAAAACACAGAAGCAAAAAAAAAAAAAAAAAAAAAAAAACAGACCGAACAAAATCACTTTACCATGCGAACAAAGTACCTTCCATAACAGCGATCTAGACATATGGCATCACTCATTTGACAAAGCGTGAGTTTGTCAAAGCGAGTGAATCAGACCAAAAAATAAATGAAAAACGAAAAAAACCTAGATTTGACAATTGTGTCGAGCAAAACATGACATGGAAGGAAAGTGTTAAAAACACTAATCACAAACAGTGATGTACCTAACCATTCTGTTACACAGCAACTGAAGCCCACCTGTCCATTCGTCTTCACTAAATTTTGCGGACAATTCTGCGAAAAGCTTCGATTAAACATCCTTGTGTGAAGAGAGATAAGACTTCCAGCGGGATGCCTCGATGCTCCAACTCTAAACCCTAACCCTAAAAAATGTAAAAAGAAAACACCGTACAAACAAACCTCTTTTGAAACGGATGTTGTACTTAATGAGACAAGGAGCTCCATCGAGCTGGCACTCGGAGCTACTTTATCTTACTTGGGTTCAGGCATTCGTGGCGTGTAGCCCCCGCTATACTTGAAGTTTGATGAAGAATTGGGCATCTTGTCGAAGTTTTCGGTCTCTCCATACTGCGCGTCATCGCCATACACATCGTTTAACCAGGTTGTATCTGTGGCAAGAGCACTGGCTTTGGCCTTAGGTTTGTTGCGTTGAGCGATGGCTTCGAGCTCTTTCACAACCTCGTTCATTGTAGGGCGATCCGCACCCCTTTCTTCCACGCAGTCGAGTGCTAGGTCAAGGAATTTCTTCAGGTCTTCTCGAGAGGCCTCGAGCACACAGGGATCCAGCAAAGGTTCGAGAGCATCCATGCCGCCTTTGTCTAAGGCAGTTCGGACTTCACGCACGATGTACTTGCCGTGTTCGATTGGTGCGCGAGATGTCAGTAGTTCCAAGAGAACCACACCGAAAGCGTAGACGTCGCTCTTATCCGAGAGATGCTGCGTCATGTAGTACTCGGGATCGAGATAGCCCTGTCGCATATTCATCACACTCCACGGTGAGTTTCTTGAACGATTCTAGGATTTACGACACCATTACAAATGTGTCGTGAATCGACGCTTCCGAATCAACTGTCATGACCAGCGTCTTGTGTAAACTAAAGGACAAGAGTAGAGATGAGTGCTGCTTACCATTGTTCCTTTCACTTGAGTGGTGGCAATCTTCTTGTCCGCTCCCTCCGGTGCTAATTTAGAAAGCCCAAAGTCTGCCACCTTCGCGACGTGGTTGCCATCTAGCAAGATGTTAGCCGACTTAATATCACGATGGATAATCGGCGGGTTGGCCATCTCATGCAAATAGGTCAAACCTCTTGCTGATCCTACAGCGATGGACAAACGTTTGGTCCAGTCCAAGGGATATGCCATCTTCCCGGAAAGCCATTCACGCATTGTACCATTCTCCATGAACTCGTAAACGAGCATCTGTTCACCTTGATCATAGCAGTATCCAACCAGACCGACCTGGACAGCAAGGAGAAATAGGTTAGAAAAGTGTCTTCAAATATGTACACGATTGCCAACGCGTCTAAGCTCCGACATAAAAAACAACAAGAGTCATCATCAGCAGGAGAGACTATACCAGATTCTTGTGGTGGACTCTAGAGAGCAGTTCAATCTCATTTTTGAACTCCTCGGCTCCTTGCATAGAGCCCTCTTGCGCTCTCTTCACAGCCACAAGCTCCCCAGATGCCAAAACACCAGAATACACCTGCAATAATCAGCCACAATGTCATGAGACCTTGCTGAACTCATATCGGGACACCACACATGCCTGTACATTCAACCACACGTCAGTTACGTTTGCAGTACCTTGCCATAACCTCCCTCGCCAAGCACATTCGCCTCAGCGAAATTGTTGGTAACCTTCTTGACTTCGGCGTAAGAGAACCATCTTGCTCCCGCTATCTTGGGTGCCTCGACGTCCTTTTCTCCGCCGCCTCCTCCCCACGATTTAAAAGGCTGCGTGATGTGCTTCAATCTCTCAGCTCTGCGCTTTTGCCAGAAGGCATACAGCCCAGCCATGGCCAACAAAGCCAAAACACCCACAACTATTCCGGCAATAGCCCCTGCTGAGAGTGCTACTTTTGAACTAACTGCTCAAGCACCACGTCAACCAGCACACCGTCAGTAACTGCAGCACATGCATCAGTTCTATACGAATAAAACCCCTTGCATTGAATTTTGAGTTACTCGAAGGGCTACTACGAAAAAAACAGAATATAAAATGAAGCATGTAGAGTGGTCGATGTGCTTACCAACAGGTTCACCGCTCGTTATCAACTTAGCAATGTAAGGCTTTACGTCTGGAAGAACGAGCGTCTGGCTTGTCAAGCTGTGGGTGATGTTCTGGATGCTTGACCGGTCCAACGCTGAAACCCCATCAGCGTTGAAAAAGTCGATGTCAATCTCTGCGCGTCCGTCGGGGGTGAAAGACGCCGAGTGGATCCACACCTGGTTGGGCAGCAAATTCAGCTGCGTTTGCATTTGCAGGCGTAGTCTCTCGATCATTTCATCCGTTATGACGGAGAATGTAGGCCGACGGGCTTCCAAGACAATTTCCAAAGGTGTAGTGCAATTGCAGTTGCCGGAGTTGAGAGGATTAATTATTTGGCTGTCGCTACAGCTTCCTGAGTTGCAATTGCTGCTTGGTTGTAAGGGAGAAGTCCAGGGCATTAATCCACCCTGAACGTTATCACATACTCTCGCTGGCCTCGCTAAGCTGCTTGGATCACAGAGTGGATTGCCGGCTAATCTGCAAGCACAATCGACCGTAAGTCGTGTTTATATGTTAAAGAAACAAACAAGTGTATAGAACGAGTTTCTGGAGTACAGGGCGAAGTGAACTTACTGAATGTCGATTTCACTCGTGTTGACAGAATTGTTCAGCTGAATAATACTATCTATCTTGTTATCTTGGAGTGAAATAACCCTCAGATTGGGTCCAAGAGTTGAGGGAATCCTCAACGTTCCGTTCAAGGAGTTGTTCCGTGCCCACCTGTTGCATAAAAACGACACATTTAAGAATGTTCCTCTCAAAGGTATGTTGCAAACCACGTGATTGATAAACACTGCGTAAAGTCAAAGTGAAACGAGTCTTTAACACCATGTGCACAGCATCCAGACTTACAATGCTTGTAACATTCCACTAGATAGAATTTCCGAAGGCAGTTGCCCTGTGAGGTGGCTGTCCACCAAGTACCTGAAAGCAACCACAAATCCAAAGTTTATTGACGAATCCACAAAAAACAAACAGACAAGTACTAGGTCACAGCTCGTTCAGAAGAGTTTCAAAATGTGTAAGAATTTCACAACTGTTAATGCTAGTTGTGAGCTCATCACCGACAGTTGGATGCTACGTAAAGAAAGCAAAGTCTGATCATACTTACACGCTTTGAAGTTTCGGTGCACCATCTAGCCATGAAGGAAAAGGTTGCGGATCAAACGAGTTTTTGCTCAAATCACTGTATCAACCACAGAATTCAATTCAAGTTGTTAAGATCTAAACGCAGACAACTGAAACAAACAAACATAACCCATGCACATGAATGTATTATTAGCAAAGACGATAATGTGGACAAAGGCAACTTACATAACCGACAAATTGGAAGTTATGGCGGTCAAGTTGGGAATGATTCCAGTGAGCTTGTTGTTCGATACCAGCCTATTAACCACATATTTAAGGTCAAACTAAGAGAAAAATTCTGGTTACATTGCAAAGCACTGTACACAAAACATATTAGGGCATTCAGACGAGAAACATGTTTACATGACCACACAACAGTCCTACACCGCAGGTCTACTGAAACAATGGCAGTCTAAATTTAGAAAGTTGCGAAAAATGGAGGAGGCTTTTAGGGCTGTTAGGGTCTATTCAAAATTTGAGGAACTTACAGTTGCTGTAAGTTGGAGCCTGTGGCTGTGGCAAACCTATTCAGACTGGCTGGGATTGAGCCTGAGAACTGGTTGTTGGATAGACTCCTGTTTCACACCCACGGAGTTAATAGATGCTTCATACAGTATATTGAATACAACAGTCTTTCAACTAGCAATGATAGAGAAGCAATAACACTCTGGGTTCACTTACAAAATCTCTAATGACGTCAAATTCGCAATAGAATCCGGAATAGTTCCACTCATCATGTTACTTTCGAAAAGCCTGCAAAAGAGTTCGATTTCCACATTAAGCCCAGGTCCTGTTGGTGGCGAGGCCATGCACGTATTAAAACTTCACTATGCACAAACGTCATATATCCACTTGGCAGGGTTTTAGCCATAGTGCCGATGGAACATTTCAGAGCTGTATCATAACTTCAAAACAACTCTAGAAGTCTGAATTTGAGACGCCTGCTTACAAGTGGACTAGTTTCGTCAATTTTACTACTCCTCCTGGTGGTGCACCGAGTTCGGGAGGAATTGGGCCTGTGAAAGAATTATTGTTGAGGTGACTGCACAGGAAATGAAATTATAGACAGAGAATGTGAGGGTTAGCTTGTGGGCAATGAAAAGCATGCGAATGAAGTGGAACACACACACCAAAAAGAAACTAATGAATAAAAGAATAAAAAGACAATCTTCGACACTTACAAATGCTTACAGCCTGACATGGTGTCCAAACCGAATCCATCTGGACTCTTAGAAGACACGGGCAAGTCGCCCGACATCTGATTGGTGCTCAAGTCGAACCAATAAACATGGACAAGAGCACCAAGCGATGAGGGAATGGGGCCAGTCAGCTGGTTGTTATTCAAGGCTCTGCAAGTAAAAATACCAACCCATTTAGATGTCACGGCACGACCAAAAGAGTGAAAATTCTCAGATACCGATTAGATTTGGAATTGATAGGATCCTTGCATAAAAACTGATTTTTTCTTCGGAAAAAACAGACCATCACCAATATACAAGATGTATGCGCATACAGCAATTCGGAATTTTTCGCTACAGTATCACACAAATTATAATACACGCCAATCAGACATATAGAAACTTACAAAAATGTCAGATTCTTCAGATTACCCAACGTGGAAGGGATGTCTCCAGTCAAAGAACAAGATTGAATAATCCTGGATGATGAAAAACGAAGCTGTCAGCATTCATGAGGTACTCAGCAAATGAAGGTAAACTATATCAATCATCCTAAACCATCCCAACTTTGTTCTGTCGTTACTTCGGAGCCAGAATTATCGGAGTGAATCTAATTTTAAAATTATAAAATTATAAAATAACAGGTTCATATGAAAGCCACCATGTCTCATAAAACAGTAAGCAAATGAACCGCTAACCGATTATCCGGGTAGGGAACTTACAAACTAGTTAGCGTGGTCAGCTGTCCGATCTCAGGAGGTATGGGTCCCGTCAATTGTGGGTTGTATGACAAATCCCTGGCATTCGGAATAAACACATACATTGATCAGATACGCACAGTGTCATGCCCACATAATACCCATTTCCAAAACACCAGGAGCACCCAATTTCCAAAAAATGATCTTACAATTGTTCCAGAGCTGTAAAAGATCCAATTACTGCGGGAATGGTCCCGATAACAGAGGCGCTGCTCAGTAACCTGCACCAAGTTCATCGAACCAACTTATTGTAAATGAACGTCCACAATCTTCACTGTCCAGCCATCATGAGGATTATCAAGCACGCTGATGTGTAGTAAACATATTAGACAACTTTGGTTCAGATATTCCCTCAGGGACGTACAGTTGCGTGACTTTTGTGTTGGTGGGATCGCAAATGACGCCCGTCCACCCATTCGTACACGGATCTCCAGAACCCCATTGCAGCGAGTTCCCGCTCCAATGACTTGCTAATGCGTTCAGCGTACTTACTACGCAACCAACATTACAAAGTTTCACAGATTAAGCACAGCGGCTGAAAGTGGGCCCAGCTCTGAGAAAAATTGCCAACATTCAGTAGCATTTTGCTTTGAAACACTACGCAGGCCACTATTCTTGCATGTTGCATGATTCCCCCATTTGACTAACTGCCGAGTCCTAGCCAAAACACCATCACTCTCATGACTCTACAATGTGGAATATCTTTCTAGATAAATCCCTAAAGGTACTGTAGCACAGCATAGTATCTGGATAGCATCCGCTAATAAGGGCCCGCGTCTGGAAGGAATACAGTCCATGAATCCTGCTAGGGTTTGTAGATGATTTTGGTGGTGGTACTTAAAAGCAAATCAATCTAACTCGTATGCGAGGAAGTAGCGAACTCTGTTACCAGCAATTCCAGATGATTCAGAACTTTGAGAGTACAACTTACAGTCAGTTGGGTTGAGAGCGGCATCGGCGTAACCGAAAAATGCGGCGGTGAGACAAAAGAACACCACTCCTAAAAATCTATCTCGTCTGAATAACATCTGCTTCATGTTCGATCCTTCCATTAGTGCCGCCCACTTGCTTCTAAACGATTACGCTCCAATCCTGTTATAATTCTAAAAGCCTGGGTATCCCGCGACGTAACAAACTTCTCCCACACCGGAGTTCAAAGGACCTGCTGTTGTCAAAGGCCATAGGCCAGTAAAACCTGTGAGAAATCATCCGCTGACTGTGTCCCAATGTGAGACTCCGTTTCCGAAACACAAAATCTCTCCTTTGCAAACTACCAGTATATTCCGAAATTCTAGCAGAACAATTTCTCGAACTAAAAGTTACTTGACAACCTCAACCTCTAACTCGCAAAGGCGATCCCTATAGGACTGACAAAGTGATCCCTTCTTCGGAATGACTGCTAGGGACCGCCTTGACATCCTAGTGTAGTGCATCTTACATTCCGATAAATGCCGAAAAAACGAATGCTGGAATGTCTAACTTGCCCAGAGGCTCAGCTTCGAATGGGTATCGAAATAGGCGAAGCAAATCGCTTGAAAAATCAAGCACTGCACATCCAACCAGAAACTCCACACTTTGAAGCACAGAGACAGTTCTCAAACTCCAGTTTGAACCTTATTCATGCCCCGATTCACGCAAATGGGCACAAATGAAGCTGGCAGACGCCAAATACACTCAGGAGACGATTTCCTCACTCCCCCCCGCCTTGCGTTGAATCGTTACGTGAGCACGCTCAAGTTCAACGGCCTTGTTTTCCTGATCTGAATGCTTCTTGACAGTGACAATAACCAGCTAGAAGCTATCCCCCGGTGCTATTGAGCGTATCCAGACATGACGTCCACCGCGTGGCTATCAAGTCGAAAAATTCTTTAGGTGTTGAAGTTGAAACCAAATAGTCCCGAGTCAACGTCTAAAGTTATAAAATTTGAAACCAAACCAAATGCTGATACGTTTTCAAGGCCCACAGTGTAACCAGCTGAGCCCCCCTCCAGCCGCCCAGTATTCAACGAAGAGGCTGTGAAACAACTGGGAAACCTGAGCAAGCTCATCTGTTTGCGCAAACTCATAAGATTGTCGCACAAACTCATAAGATTGTCGCACAAACTCATAAGATTGTCGCACAGGTAACCGCCATAGAAATGTGGGGGTACCTCTATCACCTCCTGATGGTGAGGAAATGTGCCTTGCGAACGTCAACCGCAAAGTGAAGAAATGTGGCTAGCGCAGCAAAGTCGCTTCACCAGCGAATGAAGCCGCGTCATGATACAACCGGTAGAATCAGTTACCATATAAAAGGCCTAAAAAGTTTCCGCGGGCGACTGCTCTTCATCTGCAAGACCGCGGTGTTCCAGCCGTCGGTCAATCACCTCGCCAAAGTTTGAGGAAGTTATTCACACAGCCCCTGGTCACTACCTAACACCCTTTCATCAACCCAGTTGCCAGAAACTAGTGCCAGGTAAAGACTGCCACACCACTAGGTCCAGTCCGGAAATGCGGAACAGTGATGTGGAAGACCGTGACAGATGTAGTTTGTTACCTTTGTGAAGCATAGACCCCTTCTCCTCCCTCTTCCCCAGGAATACCTTGGAATTCTGAGACCAGCAGCAGGAACTTGACTCTGCACTGCCAACACTTTCCTTCCATCCAGCCGAGTAGCTTCCTGAGCCCTTCTTCTCCCAAAATATTTCATATCGCTTCCGCAAAGCACTGCAACTTGCCAAACCGCCATACCAGCGATTCTATTTCAGCTCCAGACCACCAGCCCTTCCTACCGCGAATCTCGATTTATCGAACCAAATATAGTTGGACACTGCTGGAAGCTTTTGTCTAGGGTGTCCTCTACAGTGAAGCGCACAGCGAGCACATGCTTAATCAGTATCGGTCACGATTCCATCTCTCCCATCTCGCTATCAACATCATCATGGATTCCTGGAGAAATCGACAAAAAGAAAACAACTTCGATCAGGCTGACACGCACAAAGGTGGGTGGATTGTGGATCTGGCGGACTGTCAACGGGGTGGCCGTTGTATCTACTTCCAATACCCACGTGGGTATTCAAAAATGTAAACAGATATCTAAAAAAAATCTAGCTAAGTTGGAAACTGTGACGAGGTGTTGACTGAGTAGAAGGTGGTTATGTTGCACACGTTGTCCTACATGAGTACCTACGACACAAAAAGAATAGCACCTGATGCAGAATATATGAATATGGGAATTTCTTATCACTGATGCGAATTAGTTGCGAATCAATGATGCGAAATGCGAATCAGTTTAACTGTCTCGAATTTCAACATAAGGTTTGATATTTTGGGGATGTGATATATTTGTAGGATTTGCAGTGAAATTATGCGCTAAGTTAGGACGCTGGCCGTGTTCTACCAATAGTCGGGTTGGAACAAAGGCTTAAATAGAGGCATTTATGGAGGGGATGGATCCGTCCTTTTTTTTACAAATCTAGTGGGTATTAATTGATGTACTTTCTTCGAGGGTTGGGTATTTTTCAAAGTGGAGGATTTCATGGAGCTTTCTATTAGTATGTTTTGACTTTTGACTTTTGTCAGACAAATTTCTTTTTCATTCATTTTACTTACAATTAAGCATATTCTTTTATAATTTGTGTATATGCTTTTGAACTTCCAAGTGTAGATGTGATTATTTGATGAAATTAATTAACGTGTTTAAATTTCCATGAGATTGTCGTTAATTGGCTAATTTGGATTTATATCCATCAACAATATTTATTTTTGTATTTAGAAAATAAGTAGAGACATAATAAGTAATGAACAAAATTATTGAAATTTCTCATGTTGTCATACAATATTATGACTATTTGAGTGAAATGGTGGTAGAAAACGTCTATATATATATATATATATATATACACATACATAGATAAGGATTTAATTAAAAGTTCAAACAAAGACTTTTTAAAGATTATATCTAATAATTTCAAGATAGTAACACATTTAATATTTAGTACGGTCATGTATTCATATATGCATCAATATACACAATATTCTTACTTATTTTGGCACTATCTTAAGTCCAAGACATCTTCTACCTCAAACTCTTGATTATTGTCCACTTTTATAGGAAGATGTGACAATTGTCTTCTTTTTTGTATATCCACTATCTTATATGGCTCAAAATATATGTATATATATATATATATATATATATATATGTGTAATATGAAATATATCTTAATGGACTCTAATAGATATAAGTAATACACAGTTAGATTTATTTCTTTGTAAATAGGAAATGATTTAAGTCTATAATAATCTAACTATAGGCAAAGGCAAAGTTGTCTTGATATAACAATGGAGTAATTATATTCAATGGGCAACATAGAATTGAAGTTGTTCTATGCAATACATATTTGTATTGATTTTTTGTTGTTTTTTAATTTTACTTACATGTACCTTCATTATTGTATATAGAGTTGATAAATCATTTACTAAATCTTTTCCTACAAGATAATCAACAATTAAGAAGTCAAAAATATCAAATTGTAGATGATAATCATAATTAGTATAAAAAGGTGATTATTAAGTTAATGAATGTACTATATTATTATCAGCAAATTTTACCAATAGCAAAAGAATAGTCTAATTATATTGAGGGTAATTGATCATGCATCTCAAATATTATTCTAATACTTAATTCATTACTTCTATTTGTATCACGGACATACTCATGTAAGCTAGTAAGTACATATACAAATAAATAGAAGTAAATAAAAGTAAGTAAAAGTCAAATAATTCTATAGTATTTAATATGGAAGCTTCTTAGAAGCTTTATAGATGCTGCTTTGACTTCATAAGTGTCTTTAATTGACTTTTTGGATTAGAAACGTCGTCAACAAGTTGGCCATGTGCCACACATGTTATTAGCTTGAAGATCAAGCCAACTATGTGGCCCACACGTAGAAAAACTTGCCATATAAGTCAAGGCATGTGTCCTACAAAGTCAACACATATTGGAGGTCTTATAGACAACGCCATGTAGCCCTTCTTTAGATAGTATATATAGAGACAATAGTGAAGCCTTCTTCACTCTTGTCAACTCCTTTCTTGCTTCTAGTCTAGCTTTAAGGGTCTCTAATTTTCTTGTCTTTTGGCAATAGCCATTCTAGTTTCTCTTTCAATATACATACTTATTTATTTATATTTTGTTACCTTTCTTTGATTGAAGGCTCACTTGTCTCGATTATTTTTTCATCGAGTTCTTGTCCTTGACAGATTGACAAGAGTACACCTACAATATCAGTGCTTTATCTAATCTTGATTAAGAGTGGATTACCCCTTTTTCTTGATAAGATATAAGCATATTAGAAGTTGCGGATTACCTTCTTCTAAACTGATATTGTCCTTAGTATTTTCTTTATTCCCAAGTCCTCTTTTCTATTTGTCTTGAGCAATATTAGACATCTTTTCTTTTCTAAGTGTTATCATGGCAGAAATTGTTGAAATGAAGAGTGCAATGGCACAAATGCAAGATCAATTGATGGAATTAATGCTTGCGATGCATCAACTCAATTTATCACCACAAAGAGCAACAAGATTGGCAGGAAGTGAAGATATAGAAATGGTTGGAGCTGCTTCAACATCTGCACCAAACCATGTCCTTTCTCCTGTGGTGGAACATCCTTCAAATATTAGAGAACCAAGAATTGCCCTATCCGAGAAGTTTGATGGCACCAGTTCCAAGTTTCGAGGATTTATCAATTAAGTGCAACTTGTGATTGAACTTCAACCCCAAAGCTATTCAACTCCAAGATCGCAAGTTAGATTCATTGGTACGCTTCTTTCAAGTTCAGCACTATCGTAGTTTTCATCTTTTCTTAAACGACAAGATCTAATATTGGATAATCTAGAGGCTTTTCTAGCGAAGTTTCGATCCATGTATGGAGAACATGATGCAATTCATGTTACAATCAATAAGATCCATATTTTACGACAAGGCAATCGATCAGTAACGTTGTATGCTTCATAATTTTGACAACTTGCAACTGATATCAAGTGAGATGATGCTGCACTTATTAACCAATTTCTCTATGGAATACAATATGAGGTAAAAAAATTAATGCTCAACTTACCTAATCCTCGAACATTGAATCAAGCAATTGACTTTGCTGTGAAGTGCGACAATCGCCTTTTTGAATTTCGATCTGAGAACCGACCTCAACGTTACTATAATTCAATGGCAACACCAACACCTCTTCAATACATACATTCGAAAGTAGAGGATATGCAAATAAATGCAGTACGTTTCAAACCTCTTACTGAGCAAGAAAAGACTCATCGTCGACAAGAAGGATTATGTTTATATTGTGGAGAACCAAACCACACTGCTCAACATTGTCCAAAGAAACGACGCAATCACAAAATGAGGAGTATGGCTGTAAAAAAAAGACAATATGTCAATAAACGAGTTTGTCCAGCTACAATAGGAACCGTGCGGCTGGAACCTTGTACAACATCTAGTAAAGGTCCTATTCTCTCCTTAGAGCCCTCTCCTTGTTTTACATTAAATATTATTTTAGGACCTAAATATTATAAAGTCTCTCTTTTATTAGATTCGAGAGCCTCAGCGTGTTTTTTAGATGAAGAATTTATTAAAAGACATAGCATATCTTTAGTAAAGAAAACCAAACATGTTCATGTAGAAGTCATAGATGGTCGTCCATTGCCTTTTGGAGATATTATTCACGAAACCCTTCCTATAGAAGTAATAATCAATGGTCATAATAGTTTTGTAGTATTTAATATCATTAGATCTCTATCTAATCCAATCATTTTAGGTTTATCGTGGTTAGAAAAATACAACCTTCAAATAGATTGGATTTTCCAAACTCTTATTTTTTCTAAAATTATAACTAATAGTGTAGTTAATCAACTAGAGAGTCATAAGTCTAGTTCAATTAAACCCATATTTATAAGTGCAAAAGCTTTCTTGCATGCTGCTATGAAAGAATCACCATATATTATTTATGCCACACTTGTTTCTACTAGTGAAAAGACTTCAAGTGGCATTCCAAACCAATATCAAGAATTTCAAGATTTATTCGAAAAAAAGAATGCACATACACTCCCCGAACATCGTCCCTATGATTGCTCAATTGATGTTCAAGAAGGAGCACAACCTCCATTCAGACTAATCTATAGTTTATCACAAAATGAGTTGACTGAACTCAAGGAGTATATTGAAGAAAATCTAGCCAAGAATTTCATACGCCATTTAAAATCTCTGGTAGGAGCTCCAATTCTATTTGTGAAGAAAAAAGAAGGATGATTGTGGATGTGTGTTGATTATCGAGGATTCAACAAGTTTACCATCAAGAACAGGTATCCACTACCTTTAATATCTGGCCTTCTTGATCAGCTAAATCAAGCTAAGATCTATACAAAAATAGATCTTTGAGGAGCATACAATTTAGTATGCATCAAAGAAGGATATGAATGGAAGACTGCGTTTCGAACTAGGTATGGACATTTTGAATACAACGTTATATCTTTTAGACTTACAAATGTACCAGCAGCTTTTCAACATCTAATGAATGATATTTTTCAAGAGTTTTTAGACGATTTT